GCTACAGTACTTAACAACTATCGTCCCATCTCAAATCTGCCATTTATGGGAAAAGTCCTTGAAAAGGTTGTCTACCTACAGCTTACTAGATTTCTTATAATCAACAACTCATTTGATATGTTTCAGTCCGGCTTTAGACCCCACCACAGCACTGAGACTGCTCTTGTTAACGATATCCGGCTGAACACTGACGCAGGCAAAGTCTCAGTCTTAATCTTGTTAGATCTGAGTGCTGCCTTTGACACTGTCGACCATGAGATCCTCTTACAGAGACTAGAGGACTGGGTTGGAGTCGCTGGCACCGCCCTAAGTTGGTTTAGGTCTTACCTTTAAGACAGGGAGTACTTTGTGGAGATTCGAAACTGTGTCTCAGATCATATGGCCCTGACCTGTGGAGTACCACAGGGGTCGATCCTGGGACCTCTTCTGTTCAATCTCTACATGCTGCCGTTAGGTCAGTTAATACGCAGAAACAAAGTGTCCTATCACAACTATGCAGACGACACTCAGATCTATGTCTCACTGACTGCAGGAGAACATGGACCAGTGGACTCACTCCTTCACTGTATCCAACAGATCAGTGAGTGGATGCAAAACAACTTCCTTCAGCTAAACGCAGACAAAACTGAAATTATTGTCTTTGGTCCCCAGAAACAAAGAGAGAGCGTCATCTGTCACCTCCAGTCTCTCTCCCTAAAACCTTCAAACAAGGTCAGAAATAGAGGGGTAATACTGGACTCAGCCACATCAAATCAGTAACATCAGCAGCTTTTTACCATCTAAAAAACATTGCCAGGATCAAAAACATAGTGTCTAAAGCAGACTTGGAGATTCTTATTCATGCATTTGTCTCCAGTAGGTTAGACTACTGCAATGGCCTGCTCACAGGTCTGTCCAAACAGGCTGTAAAACAGCTGCAGTACATTCAAAATGCAGCAGCTCGAGTCCTGACTAGAACCAGGAAGTACGACCACATTAGTCCAGTCCTCAGGTCTTTGCACTGGCTTCCTGTGGCTCAGAGAATAGACTTTAAAACAGCTCTGCTTGTGTACAAGTCTCTCCATGGCCTCGCATCAAAATATATTAGTGACATGTTAGTCCCATATGAACCAGCCCGGACTCTGAGGAGCACAGGGACTGGACTCCTGTTAGTGCCCAGAGTCAGAACTAAACATGGGGAGGCTGCTTTTCAGATTCATGCTGCTAAAATCTGGAACAATCTTCCTGAAGATGTGAGACAGGCCTCCTCTCTGACAATGTTTAAGACAAGGTTGTAGCTGTGCATACAACTGAGGGATTTTATATTTTTATCTTTCTTTTTAATGTTCTGTGATTATTTATGATTTTAATGCTTTCTTGTTTTGTTCAGCACTTTGAGTTGCCTTGTGTATGAATTGTGCTATACAAATAAACTTGCCTTGCCTTACAGTTTGTTCCTGGAGAAAGTAAAGTCCATGTGCAGCGCCCTTTGCTCTTTCAAGGTAGTAAACCACAGAGATGAGATGATAAAGAGATAAAGAGGAAGCATGAAACAAATAATACATACCTCAGGAATATTATTGTGTTGTGTGCTAGAAAGTGTGTTAGTTAGTAATATTGTGCTCAAGTAAAAGTACTTATGGAATGTGCCAGGATTTGAAAAAATATGAAATCTCAGTGCTCTGTGAACCAACTCGGACATAAAGAAGCACAGGGACTGACCTCCAAATGGGACACAAAGGAGCACAGGGACTGGTCTCCTGCTGGGACACGAAGGAGCACAGGGACTGGCCTCCTGCTGGTACAAAAAGGAGCACAGGGACGGGCCTCCAGTTGAGACACAAAGAATCAAAGGTACTGGCCTTCTGCTGGGACACGAAGGAGCACAGGGACTGGGCTCCTGCTGGGACACGAAGGAGCACATAGGGACTGGTCTACTGCTGGCACTCGAAGGAGCACAGGGACTACTCTCCTGCTGGGACACGAAGGAGCACAGGGACTGGTCTCCTGCTGACACTCAAAGGAGCACAGGGACTACTCTCCTGCTGGGACACAAAGAAGCACAGGGATTGGCCCCCTGCTGGGACATAAAGGAGCACAGGGCCTGACCTCCAAATGGGACACAAAGGAACACAGGGACTGGTCTCCTGCTGGGACACGAAGGAGCACAGGAACTGGCCTCCTGCTGGTACAAAAAGGAGCACAGGGACGGGCCTCCAGTTGGGACACAAGGAATCAAAGGTACTGGCCTCCTGCTGGGACACGAAGGAGCACACAGGGACTGGTCTCCTGCTGGGACACGAAGGAGCACAGGGACTGGTCTCCTGCTGGGACACGAAGGAGCACAGGGACTGGTCTCCTGTTGGTCCCCAGTCAGAACTAAAAATGGGGACGTTGTGTTTTGGATTCATGCAGCTAAAATCTGGAACAGTCTTCTTTAACATGTGAGACAGGCCTCTACTCTGACAATGTTCAAATCCAGATTAAAAACAGCAGAATTTTAGGATTGTATCTGGACTCTTTCTTAATGTGCTGTGATTATTGATGATTTACCGGTTTCTCTGTAAGGATCGTTCTGCACCTTGTGTATTATCTGTGCTAAACAAATAAACTTGACTTGCCTTAATGTTGTTGGTGTTTTGTACCTAAAATCTTCAGTTTTTTTCAGGCCAGTCCTTCTACAAATGGAAAATGGCAAAAAACTAGGAATTTACATTTTTTGTTCATATTTTTATTTCAGTCTCACACAAATATGTTGAAAAAAGTGTAGCAAAAACAACGATTACGTTCATATTTCTGTCAAAAGCACCGCTGTGTTTTCCAGTCTGGTTTCTGCTCGTCAATCACAGATAAATGCTACAGTATGCACAGTTTGCATAGATACTTTAAAGTCACGCTTCAGAATCCGGTTTTAATAATAACATACATAACACACATACATTCAAACATACAAAGGAAAGGCTCAAAGGCTCATGGGACATATGTATGCATTGAAAGTTGCATGGGATTGAAAAAACACAGCTATTTGATTCAAAAGGACCGGTCAGTGGTCAGAATCGAGTATGGGCGGATAAGTATAGCATCACAACTGAAAAAAACTTGTTTAATGTGCGCCAAATTCTGCCTATTAACACTGAAAGTCCCTAACATAGGTGTCCAAAGTGATTTCACCAAAAAGGCCACATTGAAAAGTAGTTATTTTTCTATCTTTTATTTTTTTATGAGCCCCTAGGAACTGGTCTCTCTCCGGCCCTGCACCTTACAGCCTCAGTCCTCGTTCTACAGTCTGAGTCCTGTCGGTCTGTGGGAGTGGGCCTCTCCAAGGTTTCTCACTTTTTGCGAATTTTTTTCTTCTTCTTGTTGTTCCTTGCAGATTCAGAAAGATCTCAGGACATTTATGGACCACTGCATTATTGCATTTCCTGAGTTTAAATTTTTCATCTGTTGTTGAGGAATCAGCAACTGTGTAATGTTCTCCGAGATGACTGCGGTTGTGATTTATGCCGCGTTCAGACCGGATCATGCGTTGCGTCTGCTTTCAAAGCAAAGTCAATGGTGACGCGCGTTCGACTACACCACGACTTAAAACCAGGGTTAACAATGGGGGACTGTGTGCTTGTGAATATATGCGTTGTCATGCTCCCGTGACTTTATGCAACTGCTTCGAGTGTGTTCGCCGATGCGGAAATACCGTTTAATAATAAAATAAACTTATTGCGCACCTCCGTGAACACATACTACTGTTATATAAAGTCCATGGAAGGTCTCTGAACACAAACACGCTGCATTATTGGAGAAGATCTTTACACGAGAACCCGCAAGTATAAACTCTGTAGCATCAGAGCCGGCCGGCTACTTCCGCCACTTGTCAGGACGTTCTGGTGTGAAGACCCGTGCGTCTGAAAACTAGAGAATGCGCGTCTGGTGAGCGAGGCTGAACGCGGCATTAGGGCAATAAAAGAATGAATTGAATGGAGAAGTGTATTGAGCTCGACACAAGGGGGCGATGTGTGCTGCTTCTTCATTGGGCGGAGGTAAAGTGATCAGTCTTTCTGTTTTTACAAATTGATGTGAACTGTTCTGTCATTGGTCAATGCAGAAAGAGACCGGAGGGACAATAAAAACAGGCCGCATTTGGCTCTGGGGCCACATTTTGGACACCCCTGTGGGAAACATGAAAATTGCATTGCTAGTACAGTGAGCTTCGAATACTGTTTCATTCATATTAATCCAAGGCACAAAGTCCAACACAACATTGTTTTGTGTCAACATGAAGAGGATTGCAGAAATAACATGATTTTGTAAAAAGTGAAAGATGGATTTGTTGACGGAGGCAGGTTGTGGTTGGTCCTTCACTGTTAAACACTATGTACAGATTAGTTCAAAGTACTTCACTCGGCATCGGCGTCGCATCTGCCGGAACAACAGCATTCTTCAGGTTTCAAAATTTTATTTATGTGAAAATAAAATCTTGTTTCTTAATCAGAATTGAATATAGTAGATTTGTCTTGTTTAGACAAATCTATAATACTTTAACTAAAATACATCTAAATCCATTTGTGTACAAAGTACATATTGTTTGTTGTTTTAAAATTGTAAAATGGTGACTTCACATTATACAAGAACTGGTGTCAGGAGCCCAAAAAAAGTAACAAATAATATGTTATTTTCCGGATAAAAAGTTTCAGAACAGTTCCAAAAAACAAATACATGTAAATGTCAGGAAAGAGAGAGATGTGACAGACTCCAGCATTTGTGTGACGTCAGCATCAAACTTCCTGCTTTCACTTCCTTTAAACATGTTTTTATTCTCCACACACTGCTTCTGATTGGTGCAAAAGGATGAAAGGTATTCAGGTATTCTCCCAACAAATAAAAGTCAAATAGAGTAGATCCTAAAATCCGTCATAAAAGTCATACTTTAAAATGAAGAACTCTTGTTTTCCTGTTGGTTTGACAGTGTTCTTGAGCCCCTTTTATGGCCCCTGGTGTGGCCCCTGGTGTGGCCCCTGGTGTAGCAGTCACTTGCCCAGCTTCTTGGGCTCCTTGCTGGGCAGACACCAGTCGTCGGCCTCGCTGCTGGTCTGGTAGTGACGCAGGACAGACTTGTTGAAAACCGGCAGCCGCTCCACAGAGCTGGAGGACAGGGCCTGGGACAGAGAGAGAAGGGAGTCTTTAAACTGTGTAGTAGAAGTGGGAAATGGAAAAAATTTGACAATTCAATAGTACTGCGATATTTGGGCCATAATTCACTATTATCACGATTCTTAACATAGCGCGATACAGAAAGTATTGTGATTCGATTCTGCGATAGGTTGCCATTCAAGTCCCTCAAGGCATGACAAAAATTGCAGAAAGTAAGACGCATTAACTGAAGCAAACACTCATGAGGGTAGTGCAAAAACTTTATCCTTGAACATTCAGGACACAGGACCTTATTACAGAAAAGACATAATTATTCTCTGAATAAACGACCTCTCACATGAACGGTACTGTAGCATCATCTTTCTCTTTTAATGTTTTTAATGTATTTATTGTCTCTTTTTTAACTATTTTGCATCTTTTAATTCTAACCTATGTATGTATCTTTGTATGATTGCGAGCAAGGGACGAGTGCACAATTTCCTTCGGGATCAATAAAGTATATATTAGGGGTGCAACGGTTTGAAAAAATCACGGTTCGGTTCGTACCTCGGTTCAGAGGCCACGGTTCGGTTCATTTTTCGGTTCATTTTTCAAAAAAAAAGTGTTGTCTTTTTAATAAACACAGCTCATGTGGACTCGGCACCTGCTCTGACTGCCCCCCCTGACCTAGAAATGAATTAAGGGGAAGGAAATGGATGGATGGAATATTCCATCCATCCAATTATGTCTATTTAACATAATTAATGAAAAACAACACAAAGTGCAACATAAGAAGGCACTTTATGAGGATATTTACTCTCATATATTACACCACCTTCCTGATTCGAGGAGGCGCTCCATTCTGGGCCCAGCCTCATTCACTGCATTTATTTAATTTTTGGCATTATCAGTTGTGACTGGGATATTAGTACTGGGCGTTTGTCTTCCATTCCTCCGCTGCTTGTGTCAGGACCTGCGCTGTGTGACTGTGTGACTGTCGTAGAGGGGGCGTGTCTGCAGCGCCAGACTTTTCATCTCCCAGTCTGCGGTGATGAAGTGAGCGGTTCCGCTCATGGATCTATTATAGGTTCCGCGGGACGTCCAAGCGTCAGTCGTGAGCGCAGCTGAGGATGCGCGGGAGAGTTGACTTTAGCCTGGTCTGACTGTGCGTAAAGGAGCTGCTTAAATGCCGCGACAATAAGCGGTCGTTGAGACGCTTTTTTCACTCATGTCTTTCTTGTGCCACAGTGCTTACACATCGTGACAGTTTTGTCGAATATTAATTATCAGTGTAGTTACAGTGAAGCCAAAATGCTCTCATACTGGGGATTTAAATGACGCGGGGCTTTCAAGCATCTCCGTTCCTCCGCTCGCAATGACCGCGCTGTGTGTGGACTGAACAACGTGCGCACAACTTTTTTTTTCATAAATCAAACCGCGGATAACGTCTGTACCGAACCGAAGACGTTGAACCGAACGGATCACGGATCAGTGATGAACCGTTGCACCTCTAGTATATATCTATCTATCTATCTACACAACTCCATATTTATAGTTTCTGCACTTGTGGACTGGTCCCCCCTGGCCTGGACTCGCACTTCCCTCCCCTTCACCAGAGCCTCAGTCCTTGTTCGACAGCCTGAGTCCTGGATCTTTAGCCTGCCATTGGTCATCCATCCTGCTCCCCATGGACCATTGGCTTCCACGTGTTTAATATTATATGTAGATATTGTATGTAGTTAATAACTCACACATCCTTTGTCATTTTGGACACCATGACATCACAACAGGAGAGAAATTTAAAGTTTGAATAGTAATAGTATAAAAACATAAACACACTAGTACAATTGATTCTTTATTGCATAACTTCTACATAAGCTGGTGGTACGTCTGTTCACGGAGCAGCACAAGGACAGAATTACCATTGAGATATTTGACAGTAGAGTGTAAAGAGCTTGTGTTCCAGTGACACATTGACCAGGACGTTTCTCACGACTGAACTGTAAACGGACATTAGCACCTGTCCCTAAGAAAGACCGCAGCCCCTTCAAGTTTGAAGAACAGATTAACAGATCAGGTAACAGATCAATCAAACAAAAATTGAGTTAGGGTTATTCCCTCTTGAACTGTGATGAGAATTTAGGAATGAACACAATTCACCTCAAGTGTGGTATTTCCACACAGGCTGGTGTGTCAAAACAATAGACTGTGAATATTAACGTCCATTTCCATTGAAATGTATCTGTGACCAACATGTACCTTTTCAAAATGGCCGTGAGCTGCCCCTACCGCAGGAAAATCAGAATAATTTTTTTTAATTGCCATGTAAGTAACAGAAAATCAAAGACCAGGAAATGTCTTTGGTGAAAAAAATGCTTTTTCCCAAGTGTTAGCCAGCAAAAGTTGCTTTCGGAGCGGAGTCTGATACACACACACATTTGTGCAGGCAGTGTTGCCAACTCCTCAGTAAGGAAAGTAGCTATTGGCTGTCGCTAGAAGTCGCTAAATGACGTCATCGCCTAATTTGCATAATTTGCCATTTGCAAATAACTGTAACGGACGCTGTAGGAGAGAGGAATAAGGTCGTGGGAGAGACAAAAGTGAGTAAAAACACCCTAAATATGTTTAGAACTACAAATGTACAAAAATAATTTCAACATTAACAACATTTAATGATTTTAATGCTTTGTCTAGATCCACATTACACACATCAGTTTTGTCCTGTATTGTTAAATGTTATAACAGCAAATGTAATCAAAAGATTGTTATGTAGGGTGAAATTGCTAGCTCTACAACCAACCCTCCTCCTTTATCCGGGCTTGGGACCGGCAAAGTGACCCAAAAGACACACTCTGGCAGAGTTACTTAGGTTTATTTTTGTAAGTTTTTTTTTTTCACTACTGAGAGAAAACAGAGTCACGGACAGAGCTGCCGCGGATGGAGTGGGGGGTAGTGGGGGGTGGCGGTGGTAGGAGTGGCCGGGGAGCTTTGGATGTGTGGTGGTGGTGGAGCTGAAGTTCAGTCTGCAGCAGCCTGAAAACTTCCTGTGCTTTTGAGTCTCCTCTCTCTCTCTCTGCTCCGCCCATAGACTGTAGCTGGGACTGCTGCGCAAGGCTACTGTGAGACTGGCCGCCTGTAAGTGCTTTGGGACGGGGGAGGGGCTCACGTTGAGGACAGCAGAACAATACGTGCTTCACGAGTCTCCAAAACACCAGATAAGTCTCCAAAACACCAGATAAGTCGCCAAAACACCAGAAAAAGTCGCTAGATTTGTCGCTAGTCGCTTTTTTGAAAAAAAGTCGCTATAGGGGTCTGAAAAGTCGCTAAATCTAGCGACAAAGTCGCTAAGTTGGCAACACTGTGTGCAGGTGATAGCCGGCACAAGCCTGACATAAGGCTGAAAAAACACATGCATTCAAAAGTCCACAGTGGATAAACTAAGCTGGTCCAAAAAAAAACTCCCCTCAGCATTGTCACGAATGTAGAGCGTAGCATTGAGCCATGAGCCGACTTTTGGACCAGACTGTAAAGCTGGTTTTGAGAGGAATAAAGGCACCATAAGTATTCATTGGATATTTCTGTTTCCGGTACGCCACCACAGGCAAGGAGTCAGATTGAAAGCATGTCAGCGCCCGCACTGGTCAAAACGTCTCTGGCACTGACCCTCCTTGGATCTATAGAGCACATACAAGGAGTGGACTGATCGAGTAATGATGTCACCATATTGTGTGCAGAATGCAGTAGAAGGCGATTTAAACAGACGCCAGATACAGCAAATTTCCTTATATGGTAATTTCTTCCGACTTCCGCTTCACGGTGAGACAGGAGCAAACGTGTGGCTCATATCTGGATTCACAAACACAAGGCTCGTAGAGAACGCATGGTGAGTGTGACACATACAGTTACTGAGCTCGAGGAGTTTACTTTCCAATAGGAGCCAGAGCGAGTTGGAGTAAAACTTTGCCCCCCTCTCTAGCCCCCTCTGGAGGTGAGTGGTGAAGTTGCCGTTGCCGTGCTTATGTGTGTTGAGTGACTTGCTGCTGACTGTACCTTGAGATAGATGACCGCAGAGGTGCCGTGGCCCTCCATGGAGTAGAGCTTGAGATCTCCCTGGAAGTATCGAGCGTAGAGGCGGGAGATGGGCAGACCGTAGCCAAAGCCAGCCTGTGGGGCAGAGCACAGGTCAACACACCATCTGTAATCTGTAATCTGTAATCTGTAATCTGTAATGGTCTCAGTCACCCAGAGCCGGTCACAGAGACCAGTTCTGGGTTTACAGACACCAGGATCATACAGAAGATATACAGCAGCCAATGTTGGGAGCCAAACATGATACGTGTGTGTGTGTGTGTGTGTGTGTGTGGTGTGTGTGTACATGTGTGTATGTGGGCATGTCTGTGTGTCGTTGTATCTGTGTATGTGTCTCTGTGAGTGTGTGTGTGTGTGTGTGCATGTCTGTGTCTCTGTGCCGTTGTATCTGTGTCTGTAAGTGTGTGTGTCTGTGCGTGTACATGTGTGTATGTGGACATGTCTGTGTGTCGTTGTATCTGTGTATGTGTCTCTGTGAGTGTGTGTGTGTCTGTGCATGTCTGTGTCTCTGTGCCGTTGTATCTGTGTGTCGTTGTATCTGTGTCTAAGTGTGCGTGTGTGTGTGTGCGTGCGTGTCTGTGTGTATGTGTCTGTGTTTTTGTATGTATGTGTGTGCATGTCTGTGTCTCTGTGTCGTTGTATCGGTGTCTAAGTGTGTCTGTGTGTGTACGTGCGTGTCTGTGTGTATGTGTCTGTCTGTGTTTTTGTATGTGTGTGTACATGTGTGTGCATGTCTGTGCCTCTGTGTCGTTGTATCGGTGTCTACGTGTGTCTGTGTGTGTGCGTGCGTGTCTGTGTGTATGTGTCTGTCTGTGTTTTTGTATGTGTGTGTGTCTGCGGTGTGTGTGCATGTCTGTGTCTCTGTGTCGTTGTATCTGTGTACGTGAGTGTCTGTGTGTATTTCTCTCTGTGTATCTGTCTGTGTTTTTGTGTGTGTGTGTCTATATTTGTGTGTGTGAGTGTGTCTCTCACCAGGGGTGCGTTGCGGGAGCCGTCCATGTGCACAGGGCTGGGGGCCGTAGTGTACATGTAGGAGAAGAGACGCTCGATCTTCCTTAGAGGGACCCCCCCGCCCCGGTCCGACATCTGACACACACAAACAGTAACACAAACATCAACACCCACCGCACAGTAGAGCTACAACTTTCACTACAATCCAGTTTGACGAATTGCAATCAGCAAATCACAAAGAAGACAGTTTGCAATGCCGCTTCTAGCTTTCAGAGGGCCCTACTGTAAATCTGCTTCAAAGGCCCTCTTCACTGAAACTGCTATTTTTAGATTTCAAGTAGTGGTATTTCATTGTGATATTCTTTAAGTCATTTCACATTTGTTCCCACTTCTTCTAACCTCTCATGCCCCCAATCAATGTGTATCTACAGCCTCAGTCCTTGATCTACAGTCTCAGTCCTGGATCTACAGTCTCAGTCCTGGATCTAAAGCCTCAGTCCTGGATCCACAGCCTCAGTCCTGGATCTACAGTCTCAGTCCTGGATCTACAGTCTCAGTCCTGGATCCACAGCCTCAGTCCTGGATCTACAGCCTCAGTCCTGGATCTACAGTCTCAGTCCTGGATCTACAGCCTCAGTCCTGGATCTACAGCCTCAGTCCTGGATCCACAGCTTCAGTCCTGGATCTACAGCCTCAGTCCTGGATCCTGCCTCAGTCCTGGATCTACAGCCTCAGTCCTGGATCTACAGCCTCAGTCCTGGATCTACAGCCTCAGTCCTGGATCCACAGCCTCAGTCCTGGATCTACAGCCTCAGTCCTGGATCTACAGCCTCAGTCCTGGATCTACAGTCTCTGTCCTGGATCTACAGCTCAGTCCTGGATCTACAGCCTCAGTCCTGGATCCACAGCTTCAGTCCTGGATCTACAGCCTCAGTCCTGGATCCACAGCCTCAGTCCTGGATCTACAGCCTCAGTCCTGGATCCACAGCCTCAGTCCTGGATCTACAGCCTCAGTCCTGGATCTACAGCCTCAGTCCTGGATCCACAGCTTCAGTCCTGGATCTACAGCCTCAGTCCTGGATCCACAGCCTCAGTCCTGGATCTACAGCCTCAGTCCTGGATCTACAGCCTCAGTCCTGCATCTACAGCTTCAGTTCTGGATCTACAGCCTCACTCGTCTGAGAAAATTGTAGTTATGATTTAGTGCCATACAAAAATAAATGAAATTGAAATAAATGTATAATTTTACTGTTGTTTTGACTGCCTGTGTCAAGCGCTAACGGCACGCACATACACATACACATGCACAACACACACACACGCACGCACGCACGCACACACACACACTGCAGGAGTTCAGGCAGTACGTGCTGCTGAGCTGACAGGAATCACGTAGAGGGAAAAAGGCAGTGTGTGTGTGTTGTGCATGTGCATGTGCATGTGTGTGTGTGTGTTGTGCGTGTGTATGTGTGTATGTGTGAGTGTGTGTGAGAGAAGCCCAGAGCTGCTGATGTGGTGTGTTCAGACAGATAGTGTGGTCTAAAGGTCTGTGTGAGTGTGTGTCCTCAGGAGCCCTCACACAACATTCACATAAATACAACAACAAAACCACAAAGTCTGCAATTATCTAACGTTTTACCGTTTAAAACAAAGAATTGATTTTGTAAATGTTAAATATGAACCGCTTCATTGTTTTAAATCTGTTATCTGATCAGGTCAAAGAGAGGCCTAAAGCCTAGTTTATACTCGCGCGGCGCGGAGCTTACGGAGGTGACGTGACGTCACTTGCCCAACGCGTTGGTCACCGCAAGGCCCTTACGTTGCCTGCCGCGCAGCATCGTCATTTTCTAACTACGTAAGGGTCGCCGCAAGGAATCTCCGCTGTGATTGGTCCGTGTGTGTGTATTGGAAGGAAGCACGGAGCGGCTGCAGCAGGGACAATGGACGAGGCACTGTGGAGCAGAGAGCTTTGTGCTTCGAAGGAAAAGCAGTTTGGGCTCAGAGCCTGATATACAGGAGACTGTGGAATATCTAACATATATATAACATATATCTAACATATATATAACTTATAAACTGTTCAGTCGTTTGTTTTGCACTGTTCCTGTCTTGTTTGAGTCGTAGCTGCGTTTGTTGCTTTCCTCCTGCACTCGTAAATCGTTCATGTTTGTCTCAGATATTTACCACTATTATTGTTTTGCTGTTTGTGCTGAAAACTATTTAATAATAACTATGTTTCCATAGTTAGGCTATGCTCACACTCAGAGAGCAGCCGTCCTCCTGTGGACTCACCACCTGCAGAGGGTCAGTGAGGGGCTGGTGCTATGAGACTTGGGTGGCATCTCTGACTGCCACCCCCCTGACCCAGAAATGGATTAAAGGGTAGAAAATGGATGGATGGATGTTTCCAACAAGAACTGTGTCTTTATTCACAGCATCACAGTTGAAATTACTTATAGAATAATGAATCCATAAAACTATCACATAAACCTACAGTAGAAACACGTGTAATGAGCTCAAACAGCTTTGTTTGCTATTGTTGTTCTGAAGAGGACAAAGTAGCAGTGTATGGGACCGCTCCTGTGTGATCGCCCTCATGTGGTTTGTTGTGGGATTACAACATTCTCCTCAAAACTCCGTAAGGGGAACGCGCCAGTATAACATCAATTGTGCTTACGTAGGTCCACCGCAACCGCTAACGTAAGCCACGTCACGCAAGTATACACTAGGCTTAAAGACGCAACTTTTTTTCTTCTCCATTGTTTTTTTTTTAACAGTTGTTCGTTAACGATGCAGGAGGGTCCAGGGACAGTGATGATGATACATTTATGGGCATTTATTAAGATTTGTGGACATTAGTCATCTGCCCTGTATCAACCAATAGTTTTTTATCATTGCATTTCCTGTGTTTGAACTGTTTGATTTTTGCGATACAAAAATAATCTGAATTGAATTGACTGTCCCTGCATTTTAAAATAGGCCCTGATTAAGGTCTTTGTTGGTTTTCCTGTTCAATAAAAACATAAAATTAATTGTAGTGAGTCAGTGTGCGGAACTTTCTGTCAAAAAGGCAAGTCACATGTTCACACTTTTGCTTCACGATCTGGACCACGTGGCTCACTTTGTGCCCATACTTGCACGTGAGAGACAAATCCCTCAGACCTCTGAAGCCAAGCAGGGTAGGGCCTGGTTAGTGCTGTGATGGGAGACCTCTGGGAATACAGTGGGGTGACTGCAGCTGTAAAGTGCCAAACTGTCGTTGAGTCCTCTGACAAGACACTCACATAATGGTTGGTGGTGGGAGAGGCTCATGTCACATACTGGTTGCCTCGCTCCTGCCAGTGTGCCCAGGGCAGCTGTGGCTACAGTAGTAGTTTATCCTCACTATGTTTGGAGTGAAAGAATAACAACACGTGAAGCAGCTTTGAGTGTCCTGATAAGTGCTATTTAAAACTGATGTATTATCCTGTAACGCCGTTTTTTAGAGGAAAGAAGACACAGTACAAAAGCATTGGGTAATTCCGGGTCCACCCCCACCAACTAGGAGTGAGATTACAAGCATGTCAGCGCACGTGCTCATAGACCTTTTGGAGCCGGGACCAACCCCCACTGGTCAATTTATGTTAACTGCTATGCTTAAAAGAAACAGTTTTGGCTCTAATGTGAAGATTATGATAACACGACGTTTTGTTCTCTGATTGTTAGTGGTTTTGTGAAGGAATTTATTCTCAAACTAACGTGCTCTTTTACTTTCAAATGACAATGAAACAGGAACTCCCTTACTCTGACCCAGATTAGAGGTTTCCATCCCCCTCTTTCTCAGTGTTGCCCTCACCTTAATGGTCAGGTCCTCGTTGCCCAGGGAGACTTGCACTTTGATGGGGGGCAGGGTGGGGCTGTCCTCATGGGTCTCCACCGTGGCTCTCATGGCGTTCTGAAACCAGGACAATTAAAGATATTTTCAACAAAGAAATGTGACATTGAAGATGATGATTGCCTTTTCGAGGTGTTGGGGTTACTTTGAAAAAGTAATTAGTTATAGTTACTAGTTTCTTCTCCCAAAAAGTAACTGAGTTACTCCACTATAAAAGTAACTAGTTACAAGTAAAAGTAACTATTGCGTTACTTTTTTGTTTGACGTAGTACCAAGCTTTAGCTGGTTGTAATTTAGGATAACTTCTAAGTAGATTTATTGATGCAACAACGCCACCCTTTTGTAGTATTAGTATTATATGTTAGGGAACTGTGCTGCAAAGCACACAGGTAAGTAATAACAAGACAGGCCAAGGTTCCATTAAAATTACATTGCATTTATTTTTATACATTGATCAAACAAAACACATTATAAAACTTGCAATTGAAAGAGACTATTTTAAAATAATTAGTTCCCACATACACACACGACCCCTCCGTTCAGCAGCCCTCGCGCCTGACAGACCAGAACGAGGGAAAATACAGTACGCACAGCGCGCTGAGTACGGCTAGAGCACCTACAGCCGCTGGAATAGTGTGAACGGGGCAATAGAGGCGGTGGGGAGCAGAATAGATTATCAGATGGAAGTAGCAGCACAGATAAAGGACAATAAGGCTGCATCAAGGTGGAAAAGGGGCCAAAGCAGCGCACGGTCTGGCCCAAGCCGCGGATACCAGCTGCCAATCCCGCAGCAGCGTTGTTGCCCCAAATGAATGGGCACAGCAACGCCCAACAACGCCCAACACGGACAGGACTAATCACAACGCAGGGTACAGTCACCGTAGATGAGGCAGCATGCTTCTGCGTGCAACACACAATCAAGCTGTGTAAAAAAGCGGTGTGGGGCTGCGGTCCTGTAGCAGCGCTGAGACTGGAGAGAGGAGCAAACTCACGAGGCCCAGCAGTTTATTGTGCGACTTGAGTAACGTGCAGTAACAGGGTGTCGGCAATGATAACAGCGTTATAGTTACAGTCAAAGTAATTAGATAGATTAGTAACGCCATTTATTTCAACGCCGTTATTCCCATCACTGATCCTTATCCAAGATTTTTTTTTTATGAATGAAATTGTGATAACACAAATAAACAACCTTAACACTAGAACTTCGAGAGCCGTGATTTTGAACGCTGAAATTGAAATGAAAAGATATGGAGTTTACTATTCATTTTCATCAAAATGACCTTTAATCAATTTTAATATAACATGAAATATAGAAAAAAAACTTGTGAAAGGCTAATGCTAACTCATTGATTTCAAAATTTAAAGTTGATGTCATAAAAATAATGACTACATAAAGAATCAGAAAAAGTCACAAGATGAAGATAAAAATGTACATGAGCTGAGTTATTACACATCCAAAACTAAAGCCTGACAAATGTAAAAGTATTGTCAGGGCCTGGTCAGGATTGAGATGGGAGACCGGAGAGAACCAGAACCACATTTCAAAACCTGCCTTTCCTTGTCCATAACTGAAGCTATGTTGCTTTTAATATGTCCTAAACTGTCTAGAATCTGAGAAGACCAAACTCGGAGCTGCTATGTTCAATACCAGACACTTTAAGATTAAGATTAAGAGATGCTTTATTTGTCTTACTGTGGGGAATTTTCAATGTTGCATCACAAGTTATAGAACAGTCGGAATGAGGAGCACACAACACTACATAAGTGAACATAACTATACTTTAAAACAAAACATAAAATCTTTAGTTTTAGCTCAATAAAGAAGCTAGGTGTAATATGCAAACCAGTGCAAGAAATGTTTGGTTTAATTCATATTCTTGTATTCATGTAGTGGCTTGAATGGAATTACCAATGAAATAACATGTTTAAATAGTAAGTTTCTGACATTTCAAAAAATATGAATAATATTGTTAAATGTTAAATTATACTATTGTACATTATTCAAACTCAAAAAGGAGTAGGAGATGTAAAAAGCTCGTTCTGTGTGCTAGCTTCTTTACACTTTTGTCATTTTAAACAAAACTTTTAAGCCTTAAACATAATAGTGTTTCTTATTTTGACCGATATTCTTTTCTCATGTTGTTTTGCAGGCGTGAATCTGATGTGGAGCTTTAGAGCGAACCTTGAAGATTTTTTATTTTTTTATTTGACAGCCATAGACATTGCAATACATATTCATATACCTTGAAGAGTTCGAAGAGCATGTGGTAGAGGTGGGACGGCACGTACACAATGTTCAGGGGACGTCCCGGCTCTTTGGCTGCGGACACAACAGTCTCTGGTCACACCACTCCTCACACAGTTTATATGAACTCTACGTTAGTCCCCAGAGAGAGCAAATACAGGTTCATTCAGAACAGAACAGTAAACAGTCTGCATTCACAAATCGGCTGTCGGCGTGGGGGCAAAATATCGCAACCTGTTTAAATCTTCCTTCTTCATCATGCTAGATTTTATACTTGCTTCTTTTTATGTTAAAGTTAGAGATTTTATTTTATTTTCTATTATTTTAGTTCTTACAGATGTATTATTCATGTATCCTGTGTTGTGTGCTTCTTATTCCTACTGTCTGTAACTGGTGATGCAACACTGACATTTCCCCAATGTGCGACCAATACAGGATCTCATTATCTTAATGTCTTAATTTAAAGTAATCATCAATAGTCGATACTAAGAACTGAAATGTTGGTCACCTAAATTTCATCTTGTGACATAAATAAAGTATCTCTCTCTCTACAGTGGATTCAGAATGTCTAATGATTACTTCTTAGTACATCAAAGTACATCCATGACATGCTAAAGGACCAACTGCCCCCCTGCTGGTGCCCAGAGTCAGGACTAAACATGGGGAGGCAGCGTTTCAGATTTGTGCAGCTAACCTCTGGAACAGTCTTCCTGAAAATGTGAGACAGGCTTCTTCACTGACAATGTTAAAATCCAGGTTAAAACAGTTCTGTTTAGCTGTGCATACAACTGAAGAATTGTATCTTCACGTTTTATAATGTAGTGTGATTATTTATGAGTCACTTTGAGTTGCTTCGTGTATGACCTGTGCAATACAAATAACCTTGCTTGAATACTTGTGGGGGGGGGGGGGGGGTGATTGAAAGGTTTTTGTCAGACTCACCGTTGAACTGTGTGACCAGCAAGTCTGGAGAGGTCAGGTAGTACTGCTCACACAGCAGCTTGGACGTCTCAAAGGCATCTGCAACACACACAAGATCAACATCTGTGTCCCCCACCCCCGAGAGACAGGACCCAGGACAAAGGAGTGAACCATACAAAGAACAAGGGACAGGACTGAGGACAAGAGACCAGACTGAGGCGGGTCTTAGGACAGTGGTGATGATCCAGGACACTTGACATTCAAAAACATTTATCAACATTTATGGACATTGGTCATCCCCCTTGTGGACCAATGGCTCTATGTGTTTTCAGTGCATTTCTTGTGTTTGAACCATTTGATTCTCTGATCTGTGTTGGCCAATCAACAGCTTTGTAAAATCCTAAGAGTTTGTGATTTTGAAGACAAGGGACACGGCTTTCGTCGCCGTTAGAGCAAAACATACTTGGGAAAATTTTTAAAATGACATTTTATCCCATTTTTTTTATGTAGGCCCTAAACAACAGCAGCCGTCTCAGAGGACTTTGCAATTTGCCAACAACAGATCAGAGAATCAAACTGTTCGAACTCAAGAAATGCAATAATGACAAACGTATACGTATGAGCCAGTGTTACTAGGGAGCCGCATCACCGCTGTCCATAAATGTTCATAAATGTGTGTTTATGTGTGTGTCTGTGTATGCAAATGTGTGTGAAGTGTTCATGTGTGTTTGTGTGTGTGTAATTTTGTGTCTTAACTGTTAATTCTCCGATCTGTGTTGGCGATTTCAACGGTTGTGTTAAGTCCTCTGAGATGACTGCTGTTGTGATTTTGGACTATGTGTGTCTGTATGCATGTGTATGTATAATGTGTGTGAGTGTGTAAGTGTGGTTGTGTGCATATATAATGTGTGTGTCTATTTGAGTGTGTGAGTAGTAGTTCTGTATAATGCCACAGTCTTCCTCAGAGTGTCCCAGTGCTTGCGGTCTCACCCTGGATGACTTCTGTGACGTCACATGAGGGGTCCACGCTGCCGATGTGTTTGTGGTGCGCCTGTTTATTACCATCGAAGATCAGAGCTGAAACACACACATCACTCCTTTAACTTTGTGCAGGTTCTGAAGTGACAGCAGAGAGCAACAAGAGACACGAGCTCTCCCCCCCCTACAGCTATGTGCCTCCTGTGTTAAAACGACAAGAGACTCATCACTGTAGTTTGTACACACACGCGTGCACAAAGCGTAACTTTCTTCTCTGTCAGTATTGAGAACATGACCGAATGCGCAACAAAAGCGTTCAGGACCCAGTTTTGAGCATAAATGTGGAAAAGTCCAACAACAATATTAGTGTATGCAAAACACACAGAATGCCCCACAAAATATTTGCCAGAAAACCGCTTATCAACAGCGTGCAAGTTTTAATGTTCTGTTTTCTTACCAGCGGTGAGGCAGGACTATGGGTCGTGTCTTCTTCATAGACCTTCATGTTACATTAGCCTAGCACAGTGTCTCCCAAAGTGGGGTCCGCAGTCCCCTGGTGGGCCGCGAGGGAATTGCAGGTGGGCCGCGAGAGGTAATAAAAAAAAAAATGTTTTATATAATTATTGTATGTTAAATTACAAATATTTTGTTTGTAATATTAAAATATTTGTGTTCATTATTTGACTTGAATAATCAAATTGTAATCATTTTTGTATTACAAAAAAGGGTGCATCATTTACATGTTTGTAGCAGAGGCTATTTCCCCCAAATAAAATAACGAGAAGAGCCTATTTTTAACGTTGTCTTCTTGGTTATTATTTTGGGGGGCCGCGCAGACCCGTCAGATTTTTAAGGGGGCCGCGGTGTTTGGGAATGGCTGGCCTAGCATGTTGATTTATTGACAAACTGTTAATCCCATTGGCTTTTTATCCAATCAAAACATGCGCACGCTCTGACACTACTCAGGGCTTGCTAGCTGACCCAGAGGGATGAAACTTGACACTGATTGGTTAATGCCACAGGTTCGACTTAAAACCATAGACTTTAGCTACTGTGGGCCAGCAATGTAGAGTCTGAAGGCCTGGAGGAAGATTTTGGGAAACTATGATGCTGAGTAATTATTGGATAAAAACTGTCTACCTGGAGTTGGAAGCTGCATGGAGATTACAGGGTTTTTTCTGTGTTCACGTTCAAACATAAAAGTGAGGTTTCTCTTATCTCACACTATCTGAACAGTCAACTTGAAGTACATGAATGAGCGGGATACTAGTAGTCGGTAAGTATTTGTTTATTATTTCTAAATCCTGCCCAGCTCGAGGTACACGTGATAGCAGCAGTTACATCCTTGCTCCAGTGAGTATTTGACAACTGTGTAACTGAGAGAATGTTTTAAGTATTATTAGGGGTAGAACTGACTGTGCGGGTTCATCAGCATGTGTGTAGTCATAGTAGTAATAGTAACAGTTGTAGTAGAAATTGTAGTAGCAGCAGTATATCACTATGCTGATATATAAGCTTGAAAGTTCGGGTAACTCAGAGACTAGAAAGGTAGCGCCAGCCGTACACTTATTAATGACATAACGACCCTTTTGGAGATGGGCTGACTTTTCCTAAATGTTTTGGGGTTTTTGTGAGGTGTGTTGCAGCTGAAGAAGCAGTATTAAAACTTGTTCTCTCTTATCTATTACTCCTCTCATTACTGGGAGTCAAATAGGCTACTGACGCTTTGGGCTGGTGGTCCGGTCCAGTTGGTCCAGGCTGCATTATTGTGTGTGGATCGTTGATATAAAGTTAATCACGGTTAAATATGACGTGCTGATTGACTAACACTGGCTCTTGCTGTTACTCACAGAAAATTCATGGAGGATCGTTGTTTGAAGATTTTTACTAACTTCAGATGCAGGAAACGTGTATTGTTGCCATGGTAACCACACAGACTGTAGACGGAGTGATATGTCAGATTGCACGGTCGGATCTACTTGGTGATAAATAGCCATAAAGTAGTTATTGAGAGGAGGATTAATTCAGACGAGCACTACTGAAGGCCTAGGTGTGAAATGCACGGTCCGCCACTGAGTAGTAGTAGTAGTAGAAGTAGTTGTATTAGCAGTAGTAGTAGTAATAACAGTTGCAGTAGTACTAGGAGTAGCAGTAGAGGTAATAACAGAAGTAGTAGGAGTAGTACTCACTGTGCTGGTTCATGAGCATGCGTGTAGAGATCCTGCTCATGTAGAAGCGGTCCAGGAAGTACTGCACGTTCTGATTGGTGACGGGGTCTACGCCATACACCTCCTTGAACTCCAGCACGCCCTGCGCCATGGTGGGCATCACGTTGTTGTGACGAGTGCGGATGTTCATCAGCAGGTGGGTGAAGCTGTACGCAGAAGCATGTTTTAGACACACAGACTCAGAAGCCAAAACGCACCAAAAGTACCACTGTGGACCAGGGAAACTTGAAGATAAAGGAGGTTTATATTATTCTAAATGTGCCGACGAAACACACTAATGTCAATGTAAGACAGAAAAAGAGAAATTGCCAGCCAAAATATTTGGCAGTATTTTATGTTTTACACAAATTCCAAAAGGAAGAAATACAACATTTATGAAAGAGATTTTAAACTCGTAAATTTGTCAGGAGACATTAAGTCTACTTTCCAGAGACCAGCAAAAGTCCCAGTTTCAGGAAAAGAACATAACTTTGCTCTTTTATTCAAAAAGCTTTCGTCTCAGGCCTGCATGATGTCATTGTACCTCTATGACATCACACTTAGAACAGTTTTCTGCCCTTTAAAACAAAAGTAAAATCATAAAGTATAAAGACGATTTGTTTGAGCAATTTCTCAACTGAAATTAAATTTGTTACAATCGGATAGCTATGTTGTCAGATATATTCAAATTTTAAATAGACCAAAACACATTCTACTCCAGGGGTCCAGACCTTGACCTCAAGAGCATTTTCTCTTAATCACCTCTGTGATTACAAATACATAATCACAGCACATTTTTCACCATAAACGATTTTGGGAGTGCCAAAATGTTGTGAGTGCATCGCACATAAATCAAGCCAGGAAAACCACAGTAACTTTGACAATGGTTAGCATGAATGGCAATTGTGGCTATGGCAATCACTATGTCAACTGTTACCCTAGCAACAGTCACTATGGCAACTGTGACTATGGAAATGACTATTGCAACTGTTTCCAGGGCAACGGAAGGTCAATCTGATGATTCTTGGTTAGCTGGGTAGTTGCCATGCTACCATTTGACATAGTGGTGGTTGCCATGGCAACTGTTGCTATGGATATAGTCACCATGGCAATTGTTGCTATGGCTATAGTCACCATGGCAACTGTTACCCTGGCAACATCAATATGTCACCATGGGAGCCATTGCTATGGCAATAGCCACAATCACTATGGCAATTGTTGCTAGGGAAATCACTATTACAGTTGTTTCTCTGGCAACTTTCATTTTGGTAACTGTTGCTAAGGTAACTGTAGTGGCCAACCTGTACCTGTGCCACTGAGATGTGCCCAAACACCGGTCGCTATGGCTGACGCGCTTCAGATGGCTATTGTGTCAGCTTTAACGTAGCGTGCATAAGTCTACAGATGTTCATTGTAAAATAAAAATCAATGTTTATTTATGCATAAATCAAGACAACAAAACTCCATAAAAGTAGCGGTCAAAAACCATTGGTCCCTACCGGGTTGCACACCTGCAAGGCTCATTAGAGAGAGCCTATTTATGCTAGACCTACCCTCCACAGACCTAACACACACAGGCGCCCCCACAGGCCAATGATTGCACATGTTTGGCTCTTACAGTAACAATGAAATAACAATGTAAATAGGTTCATTTTTATTGTTCCAAAATAATGCATAATATTTCTTAATCTTTCTTCTAACAATAACTTTTTTTGTCTCAGCCATTTACCCTTTACTTTCACTGCCACTTTTTTTACTCAAATAAATGTACTCTCATTATAAAAAGGATACTTGCATTCTACCATATATACTAACACTTTAGCCACCTCTGTGCTGTGGACTGAGCAGCTTGAGATTGGAGGAAATTGTGGATGCTACAAATAAAAGTAACATTGATTGTGACTTCTTTTGAATAAACCTGAATGAGACGAGTGTACATTGGAGCAGTCGTTTGGACTTTGATTAGGTGTGGGAGTGAGTCGTGCTTCTGTGTGCACTTAGACACAGATAAGATCCTGAATTAAACTGAAACTCATGGTTTAAAGTCTGCACTGACGGCCGTTAGCAACACGCCAAGAGCCACACAGATCACATAATCACAGTTTAAACCAACGTGCGGATTAAAGACCAATGATACTGAGCCGGTAGAAGGACACAGATGGCCACGTGTCTGCCATACTGCATTAAAGGAGAGGTGACACGGACAGAGCGTTTCCCTATCCCTCCACAAACAGTGCACACAGAGACTGATCAGAACTGCTTCTAGAACTTCACGTTGATATTTTCAAATGAGAGTATTTGAGTACTTAATATTTTATTTAGTTAAAATTGTACTGGCTTTAATAACAAATCATCAAGCCTCTACTTTTTACTTGTCTTTTGAATCCTGTGGCTTATATAGCAATGCAGCTAATATGTGTATTTTGATAGTGGGAGAGTTGTCCGAGCAGAGTTCATGGACAAGTTTTAGAAGCTGTAGGACACTTGATGTCAAAATAGATTGAGGTGCATGGGAACAGGCACGGTCAAGCTGTTAAAAAAACCTTGCCTTTAAATCCTGTTGAGTAGCAATATGTAAGATTTTCACGTCATCATTAAATGACCCTAATCCAAAACCATGCTCTTTTTGAATACTTCTTTAACTGATAGCAGTAGTTAAGCAGAGATATTTGAATTAGTTTTACACCCCCTAAAACTTGTTATTGTTTTCATTTTGATGTCTGTCTCGTCCTCCACCGTTTTACCCATCAGTAAGTCCGTGATCCTGGTTGCCAGAACTCACCGCGTCGAGCCAATCACTCTGGTAAAGTAACATCTAGCTACTGTACTAAAAATGTCTCATTATGATTCTCACATCCTTAATGACAGAACAAGGAATAAAACGAGGATTTCCATCGGGGCCTTTGTGAAAAAGGTGTTGGTTATAGATTTGTTGTTGGCAAAACTCTTGTCTATTCAGTTATTATGGTCCCAGCTGGATTCGTCTGCATATCTGGCAACCTGAGTCAAGGAGAGTAGAAAAGGTTGCAGTACCACTTTTGGCCAGATTTTTTACATACTGCTCCTTTAAAACAATCATCTATCTGCAAAATCAAAACATGAAAACCTGCAGCTTATGTTCAAGTGCAGTCCTTAAATTGACAGAATTGGTGCGGCTTATATACAAGTGCGCCTTATGAACCAGAACCGATCTATAACGTGCTCCTGATAAATGCCCTATTGTGGCATCAGGATGGGTCAAATGCGGAGGATGAATTGCCCTAGGGGGATAAATGAAGTGCACCTTTACCTTACCTTCAAACGCAACTGTCATGTTATTCGCCTTCATCTTTAAAGTGTCCCAAATGTGCAGAGGTACAAAAGAGGAGCATCATACTTCCTCAGGACGTCTTTGTCGTAGGGGTCCTCCTCCAGGAACTCCACCAGCTCCATCAGACTCTGGGAATACCTGAGAGAGAGCACACGGATGAGGCCTGCATCAGGTGAACTGTATGTGATTATATATAAAATGTATAATACCACAGTTTTATTTTTGTGTGTTTTTTTTCTCATTTAATTTCTGGTGGAGCAAATACAGCAGAAGGCGCTATGGGGGGTCCTCTGCTTTCAGGCTTAAAAAGAAGCCACAATCACGGTTCAGGTGTGGTGCTGAGGACACAGTTTTTTTACTGTGTTACTGTTAAAGATTTAAGTTCAGTCGTTTTTCTCAAATTTTGATATGAGAAAATATTTAATAATTGTATTATTATTAAATGGATGGACATTCCGACTTGACGCATGAGTTTCACAGTTCATTAATTTATTTTAGTTATTCTTTTTTTGTTTCATGTGACACTAAGCTCTCTCTTCTTTCTCTCTTTAAATGAAAAATAAAAAAAGGTTTAAAAGAAAATCTGACACAATTTACAGACCGTAAGAACTACAATTATGTGAGCTCTTTGCGCATAACACATTTTGCAATTTTCATTATAACTGGCATTGTTGACTACACATCTTGCAACTTCAGCTTAATACTCAAACTTTGGGTATCACAACAGCAATCGGCTCGGAGGACTTTGCAAACTTGTTGTTGATGATGTTGTTGTTCCTCAACAACAGATTAAAGAATCAAACCGTTTGAACACAGTAAATGGAATAATAACAAACACATGAGGCATTGGTTTATAGGGAGCAGGAAGTCCACAGTCCAGAAATGTTTGTAAATGTGCAGAAATGGTTTGATCCAGTTTCAACAATCAGACTGGAGTTTCACCGGGTTCTTCATGTGTCTTACTCAAATGAAACAGAACTTGTGAGGAATCTGGTTTTCACTGGTGCTTTGTAAACAGACAGTGACAGTGGAGCGCAAACATGTGAACGGTCGATAAACATGTAACTTCAGTGTAAAAGCAAGTCAGGAAAACTAAATGTATCGCTTAACAGCAGTCAATTTGACGGCTTTTTGTTTTGGAAGTGTAATTACTCTGTTTATGTACGAGTCTGATCTTCATAACTTTGTGACTTTTTCTGTTTTCTGAATATAGATCATTTCCATGTCATTATGTTTATGAAATTTATGAAATTAACTTGATCCAGCTGGTCAGTGACTGGCTCAGAGCAATCTTAGCTTGGTGTAAGTGCTAGTTACCATGGTAACACAGCGTTTACATGCATCAGTTTTGCTGTAGAATTTAATTAGCAAAACCAGAACATGGATTTGTTGTGTTATATTCACCAGTATTAGCCTGAAAGAAAGATTAAGAAAAATAGTTTAATAAAAGCACAGTCTATTCATATGATTGGAAACCGTCAAAAATACTGCTTTGGGTTCTAGTAGTTTCAGAATTTGGGAGTCCAGTGTTAAAAGTGTCTCTTAGAAATGAAAACGTTTACTTTGGCAATTCCTGCTCTAAAATGAGTGGGCTGTGCGATTAGGAAAAAAAGAAATATTACTGACAAACGCTATGTTAGCTCAATTTTGAATCACTCTGGTCACGATGATGTGAGATGTTGGGGTTTAGAATGTATTGAATAATATTGAATTGTTCATGATGAAATTATCTTTAAAATGAGGTAACCATTCCATGCTAGCAATGTTGGCATATTGCCATCAATACTGCAGGTTTATCATAATCTTTGAAAACCAGTTCAGGGTCCTAATGTTTGACACCTCTGCTTTAGAGCCTTAACGAGTTTGTAAACAGAGTATTGAGACAGAATGGACGGGGGGATGCGCTTGTTGTGGTGCGAGGTTCATGCTCTCTGCTTTAGATGAGCCTACATTGTCCCAGTTTATGGCTAAAAGATCAAAAACACAAAGGTGCATTAAATTAAGTATTGAAAAGTGACAAACAATTGGCTACCACAGGGCCTTTATCCCCACCGCTGTCAGACTGTACAATAAGTCACTTTAAGTCACTAATGTACTAGGACTGAAGAACCAGCACTGCTTATTGCCACTTCTTATCGTACATAATTATATCCTGCACAGACTATATTTAACCTTAACACGTTGCACACTTCTGTCTTTTGCACAATCTGAGTGATTCTATCTTTGCCAAATGTGACATGTACATTTATCCTTTGTGAGATCAATAAAGTTTATCGTATCTTATCAGAGTGAAAAGCAGAGACTTGACACTTCCTCCAGAAAACAGACTGAAACTCAAACTGGGGTAAAGTTCACTCTGGGGGAGGAGGGGGAGGCAGCTGACTTCACCTTCCGCTGTCCTCCCTCTCCCCTCTGCTCTGGATCACAATAATAACACCGCCATTACTATTTCAGTCAGAAGGAAGTCTCCAACACAGTTAAAGCTGAGGTGCGTAACTTTCTAAACAACCTTAAAACTATAGAATCTGTGTCACTAGTTCTTTGCTCTCAAAATCTTTTGGTTTTCTCATTAGTATTTCACATGCATGCATTTCTGACCTCTGCCATATCTGTCACAACACCTCACTCAGCCAATCAGCTGCCACCCCAAAGTGTCGAGCAGTGACTCACAGGCCTCTGTCTTACAAGTATGCAACACACTATTTGTGTTGGAACAAACATCACACATTATTATCAATGGGAACAATATAAGGAAAAAATCACTTGAATCAAGTGTTTTTTAATCTTGATTTGAGAACATTCTGACTGTCTTAAAGCAAGATTTGCCAATGGGACAATGAGCCATTTAGTCCTATTTCAAGAACTGATGCTTTATTTTCTTGTATCTTTTTAAAACAAGAGATATTTTCTTTGTCCCATTGACGAATCAAGTTTTAAGGCAGTCAAAATGGGCTCATAACTTTTTCCAAATTCAATAAAAAATTTCATACATTTTCTAAAAAAGACAGAAACCTTCTCTGTCAATTATGTGTTAGTGTGAAATAATGAAAAAACAGCAGGGGGAATTTCCATGGATGGATCCTGGAGTTACTTGTAGTGCCTGCATGTGAAAGGCAGATCCTGTCAGACCTCTGAAGTAAAACAGGGCAGTGTTTGGTCAGTTTGATGATGGGAGACCAGGGAACACCAGGTGCCACAGTGTGGGAGTGGCTGTGGCTGTAAAGAGCCAAATAAGATACAGCAGGTGTGGGTGACCTGTCCATGGGGATCTACAGAGGGACCTGCATTTGCCCTTGGGCTGTGTTAACCCCGCTGACCTGTCTGTTTAGACAATGTGGCAAGGCAAGGCAAGTTTATTTGTATAGCACAATTCATACACAAGGCAACTCAAAGTGCTGATCAAGATAGCATTAAAATCATAAATAATCACAGAACATTAAAAAGAAAGATAAAAACATAAAATCCCTCAGTTGTATGCACAGCTAAACAGCACCGTCTTTAACCTGGTTTTAAACATTGTCAGAGAGGAGGCCTGTCTCACATCTTCAGGAAGACTGTTCCAGATTTTAGCAGCATGAATCTGAAAAGCAGCCTCCCCATGTTTAGTTCTGACTCTGGGCACTAACAGGAGTCCAGTCCCTGTGCTCCTCAGAGTCCGGGCTGGTTCATATGGGACAAACATGTCACTAATATATTTTGGTGCGAGGCCATGGAGAGACTTGTACACAAGCAGAGCTGTTTTAAAGTCTATTCTCTGAGCCACAGGAAGCCACAATGTGCTACGATTCAGAATGCCAAGTGATTCCTGATAAGCCTATCTATAGACTTTACTACCACACACTAAAACATAATAACAATAGATAGGCCTCATATACAGTATTGTATATATGGCAGTACTCTTGTGTGTGTAGGAGTACTGCTACACTTAAATATATGACTCAGGTTGTAGGGTAAATTTACAGTTTCGTAAAGTCCTCAAAGGCTAATTTAAGTAAATTAAATTGAATGTGTCAAACTTTTCTTGTGGACACTTGCTGTCTCTGTGTGGATACTTGTCTGTTGGTGTGATGTGAACAGTATTGATGTTGATGTTGGTGTGTGGTGATTGGACTGAGGGTCAAGTGATGGAGGCCAGTGGAAAAAATCAACAACAACAGCCTCCGTAACAATCCCACATGAACCAGAGCAGGACACAGTGTTCCGTGTCGCTGCTTCACTCTGCCAGCATGGCATGTGCTGTGGGCTATATACAGAACTATGATACCCACAATGCACAGGGATCACAGTCACAATGGGCAAAGGTTCACAAATGACTTCTATACTGAAACATTTTAACAAATCTCCTCTTACAAAACAGCTAAAACAACTAAACTAACAACTAAAATATCAAGAACTTCTCTCACCAACTTTCACAAACCGTCCCCCATCTTATACTGCTGTGTATACAGGTGTGAATACAGGTGTGTATACAGGTGTGTATACTGGTGTGTGTATACTGGTGTGTATACAGGTGTGTATACAGGTGTTTATACTGGTGGTTATAATAGTATTCTACTGGTCAGACATGTCAAACTTACAGAGAGCTTGTCCTTTCCACCTCAGTGCCTCTGTTTTGGCAATACTATACAATACTGCACTCTGCTGCTTTTCACCATTTTACCCCAGAATCTCTTTATGATATTTTCTGAGCTGGAAATCTCTCTCTGTGCACATCCAACAGAATTGAAGCTTGTAAGTTTGTTAAATATGAAGATAGTTCCACATTATTAACACAAATATAAATGACATCATGAACAACAGACAGAGATGTTCTCAGTATGCAGCAGTGTATAAAGAGTAGGAGTAATAGTACTGGCCGAGAGGTTCAGTCGTGTGTGTTTCAGCCGAGCAGGAGCTCGGGAGGCAGCTGCTGCTCTTCACAAACATGTGCAAATATGAAGAGCTTGTAACGGGCAGCAGGTAGTATAGTAGTAGTAGTATTGCACTAATTGCAGCAGTAGTATTACAGTCAGTAGTATTGCAGTCAGTACTACTGTAATAGTATTGTAGTAGTATTGCAGTACTATTTCAGTAGTATAGTAGTAGTATTGCAATAGAAGTATTGCATTAGTACAACTGTAGTATTGCAGTAGTATAGTAGTAGTATTACAGTAGTACAACTGTAGTATTGCAGTAGAAGTATTGCAGTAGTATAGTAGTAGTATTGCAGTAGTACAACTGTAGTATTGCAGTAGTATAGTAGTAGTATTGCAGTAGTATAGTAGAAGTATTGCAGTAGAAATGCAGTAGTACAACTGTAGTATTGCAGTAGTATAGTAGTAGTATTGCAGTAGAAGTATTGCAGTAGTATTGCTGTAGTACAACTGTAGTATTGCAGTAGTATAGTAGTAGTATTACAGTAGTACAACTGTAGTATTGCAGTAGAAGTATTGCAGTAGTATAGTACTAGTATTGCAGTAGTACAACGTTAGTATTGCAGTAGAAGTATTGCAGTAGTACAACGGTAGTATTGCAGTAGAAGTATTGCAGTAGTATAGTAGTAGTATTGCAGTAGAAGTATTGCAGTAGAAGTATTGCAGTAGTACAACTGTAGTATTGCAGTAGTATAGTAGTCGTATTGCAGTAGAAGTATTGCAGTAGTATAGTATAAGTATTGCAGTAGTAATGCAGTAGTACAACTGTAGTATTGCAGTAGTATAGTAGTAGTATTGCAGTAGTATTGCAGTAGTACAACTGTAATATTGCAGTAGTATAGTAGTAGTATAGTAGTAGTATTGCAGTAGAAGTATTGCAGTAGTACAACTGTAGTATTCCAGTAGTAGTATTGCAGTAGTACAACTGTAGTATTGCAGTAGTATAGTAGTAGTATTGCAGTAGTACAATAGTAGTATTGCAGTAGTACAACTGTAGTATTGCAGTAGTACAACTGTAGTATTGCAGTAGTATTGCAGTAGTACAATAGTAGTATTGCAGTAGTACAACTGTAGTATTGCAGTAATATTGCAGTAGTATAGTAGTAGTATAGTAGTACCAGCTGAGCAGCAGCTTCAGCGAGGGCGTGCTGAGCAGTTTGTCGGGCAGAAAGTCGATCTCCTTCATGATGTTGGCGAATCTCACTGGAAGCTCCTGACGCAGGAACACAAACGACGTCTTCTCACACGCGTTAGCCGAGCCTGGACACAACACACACACAAAGGGAAAGGGTCACACACTCACGACCACAGAGCACAAAACAAACACACACATACACACAGTAAGACACCAGGACTATAACCTTCTTCTTCACCTCCTCATGTAAGCAACGGCCTGTACAACAGTTGTGTGCGTTGTTTACCAGCTCGTGTCACTTAAACTTGGTGAGACTTTATTCCAACCAAAAGCCATTACAACAGATCAATGCCAAGAACCCTCTTGTTGTGAGGCTGTGAGTGCTTCCCTCAGCAGCTTGGATCAAACCTTTAGATTGTAGGTGACCACTGGTTACTGTGAAACACTGAGTCACATGAGAAATGCAGCGGGACATGATTCCAGCCCCAGTCCCATGACGTCTGCAGCGGCCGCTCTGTCCCAGAGCAGCAGGCTCAGGTTTGGACTGGAGGAGGACGATGTAAGATCACTTTCAACCACATCTAACTGAAACTCTAACTTGCAATTACAAAATTCATTTTTTATTTTTTTATTCAATTTTTGTAAACCATTCACATCAATGAAAATGTTTACAAATAAAAATATTTCAGATTTTATCAAAAAGTTGCAATTACTTATTGTACTGCCACCTGGTAAAAAAAAGTCCACCTGGACTGTCAGTCCTCTGAAGTGGAGCAGGGCATGGCCTGGTTATTACTGTGATGGGAGACATCTGCTAACACCGAGTACCACAGTCTCGTGCCAAACACACATTTACTGCAGTTAAATCAGTAACTTTGTATGTTGATATGTAGCATTCTTCTTATTTGTTTAACAGTTCATTTACACAGCTTTATAAATGTGACTGCGGTTTACGGTGTCCACACTGAACATGAAGGGTGTTGTTAAAATGTAATTATAATCGCAATGGATTTATTTCAAACCGTTGTGTGGACGCAGTATTAGAGGAAGAGAGTTAAAACTGTGGATCATCAAAACAATTAAAGCTAGAAACAATTTTTGCGTTTCTGTTTGTGTCAATGTTATTGTCTTTGTCTCGTGTTTGCAGTGTCCTGTGCTCTCATGTTTTTATGTTGCCGCTTTTACTAACCTGCTTTTTATGGTTTTGTTTCATGTTTTTGTGTTGCTGCATTTACTAATCTGCTTTTTAAGTTTGTATGTGGGTTTAAATATCTGGTGCTGTTTGTTTGTTGATGGCTGCAATATTAACCATGGGACTACAGATGGGAATTAATAGTTACCTAATGTAACTTAAGTTCTACGAATAGGTGCGTAGTCCCTTAGGACTTCGCTAGTGGGATATCACGTGACCCCCAGGTCACACGCCAGAGAGATCAAAATAATTTGCTCCAATCACCAGCCACCCTCCTCTATAAATGCCCCTGCACAAGGCCGCACCCCCTCTTGAACTCTGCCAAGCCGGGCTGGCCTGATGGGCTCGTAGCTAAGGGACTACGCACCTATTCGTAGAACTTAAGTTACATTAGGTAACTATTAATTCTACGTCATGGTGCTACGTCCCTTAGGACTTCGCTAGTGGGACACAACGCGGAGGCCGTAGGAACATGTACTCCCAGCAGGCCAGCGAAGGGTGATTGGAGCTCCGCCCGAGCAAGACCCTCACACAGTGAGAGGACTCAGGGCAGAAGAAACAATGCGTGTTACAGGGCCATTCCTACCAAGGATACCCCCACGTAACACAGATATAGGTCATCCGTAGTCACAGGACGCCTCTCCCAAGGGCTCCTGACGTGGACTACCAGACCGACCAAAACACACATATATGTACCGCACCTGTAGGATGCCTCTCCCAAGAGCTCCTGAACCAGGGCGGAAAGTAAACCGAAGGCCCCCTCAGAGGAGGGACCTAACGGTCTAACTCAGTCCGCTGCACTCAGCACGGAATGGGCCACCGACCGGTCCGACACATCCAAAAGATAAGACCGGACGAAAGAGGAGGACGAAGCCAAGAAGCCGCACGGCATACGTCCTCGACCGACACCCCCCTGAGAAGGGCCGTAGAAGCCGCCATCCCACGCGTGGAATGCGACCTGAAACCCACCGGGAGGGCCAGACCCTGCGTCTGATACGCCCGCCGCACAGCCGTGGCAACCCAGTGCGCCAGCCGCTGAGCCGACAGCGGGGCGCCCCTGTTCTTGGGGCCCAGACACACAAACAGCTGGCCACCCAACCTGAATGACGACGTCATGGCCAGGTAATGCCTCAGCATTCTGACAGGACACAGAAGGTGCCGCCGCTCCTCCTCGGGGGAGGCATGTGGTGGCGGATAGAAAGCCCTAATCCTGATGACTCTCGACCTAAAGGCCGACGTGATGACCTTGGGGAGAAAAGCCGGATTGGGCCACAATACCACCATGCCGTCGCCCTCTCCAAGGACAGGCAAGACGCATGGACAGAGAGCGCACACAAGTCGCCCGCCCTCTTAGCAGACGCCAACGCCAACAAGAGGGCCGTCTTAAAGCGACACACTCGGGACTCGCCTCCGCCGCCGGTTCAAAAGGCGGACCCGACAGCCCCCTAAGGACCACCCTGAGGTCCCAAACCGGGGCGTTCTCTGGAGCGGGGGCCTCCTCCTGCGTGCCCCCCGCAGAAAACGTTTAACCAACGGATGAGAGCGGGCTGTGAACCCCCCGAATCCGTCGTGACCCGAAGTAATGGCTGCCGCGAACACCGCCAAGGTGGCGACAGCCCTCCCCTTGTCAAAGAGCTCCTGTAGGGATCCCAGGACCCCCTCCAGCGGGCAACGCCTGGGATCCCAGGAACAAAAACCGCACCAGTCGCTAAAGAGCCTCCACCTCGTGGCGTAGGCCCTCACAGTGGACGGGGCCCTCGCCCCCTGAGTGGTCTCCACCACCGCAGGAGGAAGACCCAGGTCTACGAGGTTCCGCCTCTCAGCCTCCAACCCAGAGCCTGCGGCCGATTATCGGGCGTGAAAACAGGGCTCCTCCCCCCCTGGACTAGAGCCCCCGGCTCGTCCGGGAGGGCCCAGGGCTCCATCACCGCCATGCCCCTCAGGAAGGGGAACCACCGGGCATGCGGACTGTCCGGCGCCACCAGGATCACCGACCTCCTCTCCTGTTCGATCCTCCGCAGCAGGACCGGCAGGAGACGCACTGGTGGGGAACGCGTACAGCAGGCCCCCTGGCCAGGGGTAATGAGCCAGAGCGTCCACGTCTAAGGGCGGCTGGTCCGCGGCCCTTGAGGCGAACCAGGACGGGCACTGTGCGTTTTCTGCACTGGCGAAAAAGGTCGACCACTGGACGGCCGAACCTCCGCCAGATCTCCGCAGCCACCCCTGGGGCCAGGCCCCACTCGTCCTGGAGTGGGCCCCCCCCTGGACATCCTGTCGGCCCCCACGTTCCGGACCCCCGGGACGTGGCGCGCCCTGAGAGACAGGAGGTGAAGCGCCACCCACAGCAGCGTCACCGTCGCCATGCGATGGAGAGCGGGGGACCTGGTGCCCCCCTGCTTGTTCAGATAGGAGACCACTGTGGTGTTGTCTGAGCGCACCATCACGTGTCTCCCCTGCAGCTGAGGAGCAAAGTGCAGCAGTACCCTGTGCACTGCCTCCATCTCCAGCAGGTTGATGTGACGGGCTGAGTCCGACCAGCAGCCTCCTACAGAACTCTGGCCGAGGACCCCACCCCATCCTTCGAGCGACGCGTCCGTGAACATCTCCACGTGAGACACGGCGCCGGCCAGAGTCACTCCGTCCCGTAGAAGACCCGGAGTGAGCCAGAACTTGATGTTCGATGCTGCCACTTGGGGAACCCAGATCAGCCTCCCCCCGTCCCGGGAGGGGTGAAGCCTGAGGCGTGAGAACCACCTCTGAAAATTCCACATGTGGAGAAGGCCTAGCCGCACCACAGAATGAGCCGCCGCCATCATTCCCAGCAGGGACCTGAGGCGCCGAGCGGGGACTCTGGGGCCCGCCAGAACCTCCCTGGGCAGACGGGTAGTGTTCATCTGTCTGTCCACGGACAATGCAGCACGGAATGTCACAGAGTCTAGCTGCAGACCGAGATAGATCATGCGCTGAGCCGGTTGCAGCCTGCTTCTACGTCATGGTGCTACGTCCCTTAGCGGACTTCGCTAGTGGGATATCACGTGCACCTATTCGTAGAACTTATGTTACATTAGGTAACTGTTAATTTTCTCCCTGTTAACCACAAAGCCCAGGCGCTGTATGTGGGACAGGACCCAGTGCGTATGACTCACGGCCACTTCCCTGGATGAGGCCAGAATTAACCCGACGTCTATGTAGATTAAATTCTTACCCCTGCTCGTCTGAGCGGCTCCAGTGCTGCCTCCACGGCGCGAGTGCGTAGCCCAAGGGGAAAACGACAGTACTCGTAATTCCTCTCTCCCACTGCGAAGCGCAGAACCTCCTGTGTTCCGGCACTATCGGCACGTGGAAGTACGCATCTGTCAGGTCTATGGAGGATATCCAATCTCCCTGCCTGACACACTCGAGGAGCTGCTTTGTGGGCAGCATCCGAAACTGCCGTTTGGAAATGTACTCGTTCAACACGCGCAGATCCAAAATGGGACGCACCCCGCCTGACTTCTTTGGCACTAAGAAGTAAGGGGAGTACAGCCCCCTGGTGGCCTCCTGCGGGTCTACCTCTACTGCTGCGCCTAGACCCAGCAGAGAGGAGACCTCCGCTTGCAGTGCCTCTAATGACCCCGTACCTGAGAGCGTACTGCCCGTACGCCTCGGAATGGTGGTGGCTTCTGGGAGAATTGCAGTGCGCAACCCCTGCGCAATGTTCTCTCCAGCCATAGATATGTCAGCCATCTTTGCTCCCTCCAGATGCTGTAGAAGTCTGTGAGGAGCGGAACGGGAGCTGGAACACGAGACGTCACGGCCCCGCCCTCTCCTGGTGTTCCTAGCAGGGAGGGGGGGTGGACGAAAGGGCCGGGGGGGCCCCCTGCGTCACACCGTGAGCGCCGTGGGCGGTCACGTGTCCTGCAGGCCCGACGTCATAAGTACGGGTCTGCTCATCCCACGTGACTCGGCTGCTGTGCCCCCACCCTGGCTCTTGCCTCATGGAGGGGGGGGCGAGCCCCTGGAGTGGGAAACCCCGTGTTAGCCTTGTAGCTCAGAGATGCTAACACGCGTCCGGCCGAAGCACACACATCATTACTCACCAGATCCCTCCGCCTGACCTCTCTCTGGGAGGGCATAGTATGGATCAGAGAAACCGGAGCTCGTAGTTCGCGTAGCGCACTGCACACCCAGCTCTGGGGGCTGCAGGCCTAGCGAAGCAACGTTACGTGCCCGGGAAGTAACACAATCAGAATTCACATTATTCGACATGTTACATACCGCCAAATGAGACTCAGAAACAAGTAATGATGAAATGCCGGTCGGCCTTTATTGAAGGAAAACTTTCCACCCCGACCTCCTCTGCCATAGGGAGGTCGGTGGTGGGTGCGTTGCTCCCGCGAGCCACCCATGGGTCTGTCTGAACCCGGGGGCCTCGTCGAGGGGGGACGATGGATAACAGAGCGCGGATACGGGTCAGGATGCCTCCCGGGCCAACGCTCTCTGCCTCTGTCCCGGCTCCGTAATGGCTGGTGGGCCTCGCGCCTCGGTGCTAGGTGCGGGGCTAGCCTAGCCGAGTCTTTAGCTGCAGACTCCAGTCTCGCCACCAGGGTCTGCATGTCCGGGCCGAAGAGGGACATCTGAGAGATGGGCAGGTCCAGCAGCTGCCTCCTCTCCGCCTCCCTGATGTTAGCTAGCCCAAGCCAAAGGTGCCTGGCCCCGACTTGGGCTGCTGCCATGGAGCGGCCACCATCCACAGCTAGCGTCTGGCACATGCGCAGAGTCGCCGCCGAGGTGGTCCTCGCCTGTGACAGGAGGTCTCCACTGAGCGCCTGTCCAGAAGAGAGCGACATATCCAGGGCCCCCGTGATGAAAGCCATGTTGTTAGTCAATGCGAGGACCTGTGCTGCATTGGCATAACATCTATCCAGCATCGCCAAGACATCCTGTCCCGCTCGGAGGGAAGGAGAGGTCTGGTGCCGGGCCACACGGATGCGGAGGGCTGCAGGGCCCTGCGGACTGAATCCTCGGTGTCCGGGCCACCATCCACGGCTAGCGTCTGGCACATGCGCAGGATCGCCGCCGAGGTGGTCCTCGCCTGTGACAGGAGGTCTCCACTGAGCGCCTGGCCAGAGGAGAGCGACCTATCCAGGGCCCCCGTGATGAAAGTCATGTTGTTAGCCAATGTGACGACCTGTGCCGCATTGGCATAATATCTATCCAGCATCGGCAAGACATCCTGTCCCGCTCGGAGGGAAGGAGAAGTCTGGTGCCGGGCCACACGGATGCGGAGGGCTGCAGGGCCATGCGGACTGAATCCTCAATCACCGGTCCAGGACCAGTCCTGCCCGCTGCAGTACATGTCGTACCCCAGAGCAGGCCTCTTGGCTGCTAGGGGCTTAGGCCCCTCACGTGTCGCGTAATGGACGAACGGGTCCATCTGCGGGCACAACGTGGGTTGCATCCTCCTCCTTTGAGTGGTGGCACCCACAGAGGTGAAGTCCTCCACCGTCTGGATCCAGCGACGACGTCCGACGCCGGAGGGCGAAGGGAACTCGGACGAACAAGGAAGACATCTCAGAATGAAGTAAGTACTGTGGTAGATCTCAAACGGCGCCAGAGTGAAAGAGGGGGTGCGGCCTTGTGCAGGGGCATTTATAGAGGAGGGTGGCTGGTGATTGGAGCAAATTATTTTGATCTCTCTGGCGTGTGACCTGGGGGTCACGAGTGATATCCCACTAGCGAAGTCCTAAGGGACGTAGCACCATGACGTAAAACTCGCCTCTATAGATATATCTGGCAGGTTTACAGGGACACAAGTTGATTCATGTGCACTGTTCCTTTAGAATAAACAAATAAATATAATAAATATTTGCCATTTGAAGTCAGTTTGACAGACCCTCTGTAGCGAGTGTGAATCAGCATGAAGAAACATTACTTTAAGAACTATTCAAGATACACTGCCGTTTTCAGGAAAGATACAAAGAGCCTATAGTTTTAAGCGTACTGCATATTTGTACTCTTATGGACACGCTCTTATGGGACGGAAAAACACACCATCTATGAAGAAGCCCAATATAGTTAATTGTGAAATAACTAAACATACATTTTCAGAGTTCAGTTGCAAAACAATGTATCAAAAATTGTCATTCCTGTAGTTACAAAAATCTTCCACATGTTTGTCATTGTCAGTGCATGGAGTCCAGAATAAACATGTGACACTTTGATTGTATGGCACTAAAGTAGATCTGGCTTGGTAAAGGGCAAATTATAAGTCTTTGACAAATTCACTTATCTGTTTTTGCAAATAAAATATCGATGTATTCTCAGAGCTCATACAAAGTTGACCCATTATTTTTCGGTTTTGCTGTATAAGGAGGTTTCCATGGGATTCTAATCACTGCTTACTTTGATAGTTCAAGTCCTGCTTATCATTAATTAACCTGTCAAACAACCCAAATTCTGCACGTTTGGCTTCTATAGACATACATGTGGAATCAAGACACGCTTTAGCACAGTTTTCTCAAGCAACCAAGCCAATATAACAGTCATAACAAGTTTTCTAGACCTGTATTGTCAGAATCTTGTTCATGCTTCTTACATAAAAGAACAGAACGTGATCCGTGCGTCTGCGCCATGTGACTGAAGCGTCCCGGGACAAAGCCATATGGACCATAACCACCATAACAAGCGACTCACCGAAGTCTATAAACTGCTTCATGGACAGCGGGGAAGGGGAAAACTTGCAGAAGCGCTCCACCAGCTTGGGGATCCCAGCTGAGGAGCCGTTCTTCAGCAGAAACTGGGCAAACTTCATCTTTACGCACGCATGCCCTCAATGATCCACACACGGTTTTTACGCGCTCCAAATCCAAAGCGCCATCAGCGAGCCGAGGTGCGCGCTGCCATCACCGCGGAGAGCCAGCCACGACGTTAGGCATTTTTACCCAGCGGACTGTGAGCTAAACACCGTGTTCCAGAATTGTTATGGGGCGGGACCTGGAGGGAGAGGGGCAGGGGGCCGAGCCAATCACAGCACGCGTAAGACTTTCAAGAGATGTGTTTTTCTTCTTTTTGGGGGAAGGTCTGATCTCCCCCCTCCCATAACTCAAACGACTTGTTTTCGTTAAAGCTGGGGTACCTAACTTTTGGTTACTCATAAACAATGTGTGCGTTTGTCCGCAACGGAAAGAGTGAGCAAACTATGTTAGAAAAGTTTTGGCTGAGTGAGGGTATTGTTTTCTTTTTCGCGTTTCCGTTTGAAAGCTTTACATGCATGCGATTTTTTTTTAAAATTGTAACAATGTTTTCGAACGTAGAGATTCTTGAAGTGATTGTAGAGATACTTGAATAAATGTACTTAAAGTTGCGTTCCTCAGATGTCCTGGTGGCGGCTCGCTTTGTGCTGTGTTCATGCCTGGATGTGTGTAGTTTGTCATAAAACTTTCTTTTTACATTGGAAGTTAATAGTAATGTGAGATTTCACACGGAGAAGTGGGAGAGACTGTTTTCAAAGCAATATCTGGAACAACCATCGACTGATGAAGTTTGGTATTTTACTGAAGATTGTTGACAAGTTTTATGAAAGATCTGAACATGTTTTATGAGTTTTCTGAGTTTTTGAAGTATTCCGAGTTCTGAGTTTTTTGAGGTACCGAGTGAAGTACAGAGTTTATGAGTTTTTGAAGTATTGAGTGATGATGTTATGTTGCTGTTTATCGATCCTGATGGTCACACGTGAATGTATGACCAGAGGGGGAAATGTGAGATTTCATAATACTTTGAAGCAACTTTTGTTAAAGTCAAACTCATCATACTATCAATGTGCAGAAGCCAGTACTTTTCCCTTGTTTAGTCTATCTGAAGGCCAAGCTACATGGCACCGTGGCAGCTGCTGATTGGAGGTCTCCATGCCTCCGCTCTGTATAATACACTTGCATTCTATTGTATCTGTGTTCGTGTGCTTTGTTCGTGCTGTCTCTACCATCGACTTTAAAACATGTCTTCTGTCTGAATTAAAGACGCGATCCCAGACTTTGTCATCTTCTTCAGGTGGTGGAAGGATGCGGGCCTTGTCTGTAACATCTAGAGAACAGAAGACTTTTTTTTTTACACAAAAATGTGTTTTTTTTTTAAGCCAAAACTGAGAAACCTCAAGAGAATGCATCTGGATCAGCACATGGACAATCTGCACAGCCCCTGACTCCAGTCAGGCTGTGAGCTGCTGAGACATGGACAATACCAGCGTCCTCTTTTGCATGGACACCATTTGGAAAAATTGGATTACACAATTTGGACTGAATTGGATTGCTGAATCTGGACACTAAAGCTGAAACGTGTGATTGAAAGACACGTCACAGAAGAATTCATGGCTCGACACAAATGCAGCCTGAAGAAATCAACACGGAGAAGTGGGAGAGACTGTTTTCAAAGCAATATCTGGAACCACCATCGACTGATGAAGTTTGGTATTTTACTGAAGATTGTTGACAAGTTTTATGAAAGATCTGAACGTGTTTTATGAGTGTTCTGAGTTTTTGAAGTATTTTTTGAGGTACCGAGTGAAGTACCGAGTTTATGAGTTTTTGAAGTATTGAGTTATGATGTTATGTTGCTGTTTATCGATCCTGATGGTCACACGTGAACAGGGCCGGAGTGGGACAACATTTCAGGCCGGGAGCTTTTCATCCATTCAGGCCAAACAAGGTTCTAAATTTGGGTTTTTGTCATTGTATTTTGATGTTCTTTTAATAGTTTTAAGATTGACTGTCAAAACTTTTGTTTTCTTTATTTTTTTTTTATATTGACTGTTTATATAATCTCGGACGTTTAAGGATTGTTGTACGTTGCTTAGCAACGTAACGTTTATGGAGTTTAGTGAGAATAAAGACACACACACACGCACACACAATGAACTAAGTGTTCATTAGTGTATAACTATAACAAGCTAATCAATTATTGTTAAAAAAGTAGTAAGGTAAAATCACATCGTTACAGCTCATATAAAAGGAAAAATAAAAACGTGTATGAACCATAAGTTGGAGAGACCACTCATTTCAACCGGGGAAGCTACACTGGGTGCACTGCTGGGCTGGCCTGGCTGTGTAGCCGACGTGTGACGTCACATTTGTTTAATTTTGCTCTGGCCCAATGACAGTAAAGCTTTGGCCAGTGTTGTGCCAGTTCACAGCTTTTCTGAACTAGTTCAAGTTCAGTTCATACATGCTCAAAGTGAACAGTTCACGTTCGAAGTTCTCAATTTTAATTCTGAACTAGTTCAAAGTTCAGTTCATTTTACTTTTTGCGAGATATTCAAATATTTTTTTTCACTACGAGCTAGAAATCACAATACGTGGTATATATATATATATATTATATATATATATATATTATATATATGTTCAGGATATAATTATATATTATATCCTGAACACTGCACAGGATGTTTTGACTCCAATGCAGACAAGATTTACATGGGTTTCAATGGGAACTGAGTTGTCCCATCTCTGCTCATAAGTACAAACTGTAATGCGCTGCAGAACGTGTGTCTATACTTTATGTCAAATGTAAACGGCCCTGTGTCACTGACTTACCCCTGTGTTTTCATCACGGCACATGTGAGTCCAACAACCAGTCGGCAAAGGGGGGATGGGGAGGGGGGACTCTGTGCCGTGACGTCAACTCCTCATTCTCAATAGCACTAGCATACAGCGCCGCACCGCAAGTAGTACACTGAGTCGGGGTGCGTTCACAGACGGTGGAAACCGTAGGAATTTTTAGTTTTCGGCGGAAACAGTGCGGAGAATACAGGAGGGAGGAACTTTCTCTCGTTGCGTTTCAAAAGAGAAAACAGATTTCACTCAGTTTTAAATGGAAAACAAATTGTCTGCCGTTCATGACACATAATATGTACTAATTCACGTTCAAGTTCTTTATTAAAAAATGTGTTGCATTCAGTTCAACGTTCACGGAAAAATGAGCGTGTTCAATGAACGCGTTCTTTTGAACTCGTTCACGCACAACACTGGCTTTGGCCTGGGCCTTGCTCATTGGACCAGGCCACCAGGCAGGGTAGGAGTTTGCAAAGACCGTGAGGATGAAATTAAAAAAAAAAAAAAAAAATAAAAAGACCGTGATGATAGGGCAGGCCCAGGCCACTTTGACACGCAGGCCACCGGGAGATCTCCCGATGCTCCCGATGGCCAGTCCGGGCCAGCACGTGAATGTGTGACCAGAGGGGGGAATGTGAGATTTCATAACACTTTGAAGCAACTTTTGTTAAAGTTAAACTCATCATTCTATCAATGTGCAGAAGCCAGTACTTTTCCCTTGTTTTGTCTATCTGAAGGCCAAGCTACATGGCACCGTGGAAGCAGCTGATTGGAGGTCTCCATGCCTCCGCTCTGTATAATACACTTGCATTCTATTGTATCTGTGATCGTGTGCTTTGATCGTGCTGTCTCTACCATCGACAATAAAACATGTCTTCTGTCTGAATTAAAGACGCGATCCCAGACTATGTCATCTTCTTCAGTAATTTAAAAAAAATTGACACACATAGACACTATCGTTCTTTTTAATGTACTGTGATTCTTTATGCCTTGTGTGACTGTTTCTATCTTGTTTTGTTCAACACTTTGAGTTCCCTTATGTATGAATTGTGCTATACAAATAAACTTTCCTTACCTTGCCCTCACATGTCATTATTCATTCACTCCATACACTACTGTATGCAGAAACGAAGTTTCCTATCATAACTATGCAGACGACACTCAGATCTATGTCTCACTGACTGCAGGAGAACATGGACCAGTGGACTCACTCCTTCACTGTATCCAACAGATCAGTGAGTGGATGCAAAACAACTTCCTTCAGCTAAACACAGACAAAACTGAAATGATTGTCTTTGGTCCCCAGAAACAAAGAGAGAGCGTCATCTGTCACCTACAGTCTCTCTCCCTAAAACCTTCAAACAAGGTCAGAAATCTAGGGGTAATACTGGACTCAGACTTAAATTTTAATAGCCACATCAAATCAGTAACATCAGCAGCTTTTTACCATCTAAAAAACATTGCCAGGATCAAAAACATAGTGTCTAAAGCAGACTTGGAGATTCTTATCCATGCATTTGTCTCCAGTAGGTTAGACTACTGCAATGGCCTGCTCACAGGTCTGTCCAAACAGGCTGTTAAACAGCTGCAGTACATTCAAAATGCAGCAGCTCGAGTCCTGACAAGAACCAGGAAGTACGACCACATTAGTCCAGTCCTCAGGTCTCTGCACTGGCTTCCTGTGGCTCAGAGAATAGACTTTAAAACAGCTCTGCTTGTGTACAAGTCTCTCCATGGCCTCGCACCAAAATATATTAGTGACATGTTAGTCCCATATGAACCAGCCCGGACTCTGAGGAGCACAGGGACTGGACTCCTGTTAGTGCCCAGAGTCAGAACTAAACATGGGGAGGCTGCTTTTCAGATTCATGCTGCTAAAATCTGGAACAGTCTTCCTGGAGATGTGAGACAGGCCTCCTCTCTGACAATGTTTAAAGCCAGGTTAAAGACAGTTCTGTTTAGCTGTGCATACAACTGAGGGATTTTATATTTGTATCTTTCTTTTTAATGTTCTGTGATTATTTATGATTTTAATGCTTTCTTGTTTTGTTCAGCACTTTGAATTGCCTTGTGTATGAATTGTGCTATACAAATAAACTTTCCTTACCTTGCCCTCACATGTCATTATTCATTCACTCCATACACTACTGTAGCTACAGCTGCCCTGGGGCACACTGACAGAAGTGAGGCAACCAGATGTCGACCACCATCTACTCACACACCCACACACACACACACACACACACACTAGACTCACACTATTGTGGGTGTCTTGCCTAAGGACACAACAACAGCTCATCACTTTGCAGCCGCCCCACTACGGCACCTGTTCCCAGAGGTCTCCCCTCACAGTGCTAACCAGGCTCTACCCTGCTTAAGGTCGGACAAGTACTAGCTTTCACCAGCAGGTGGTGCCAGAAAGTAACGCAAAAATGACAAGTTATATCTGCGGAGAGGAAAGTCTTCTCACAGAAAAACCCAAAGAAAAATAAACGAATTAACTGTTTTTAAGCACACAAAAAACCCATAATTGTGGCTTGTGCATGTTTTAACCCAAACTGAGTGACAAAGCAAAGCAATAACATGTGTATAACAGAAGCGGGTATTGGACCACTTCACAAAAGCAGGTCACCACCAGGACAGAGGAATGGACCTCACTTTTTTTGTTGAGTGTCAAGTGTTGCCTTTAGAACACTTTAACTAGACTTTTGTAGAAATGTGTCGAGCTGACAGAGACGACAACAAACCAAACACGTCGGACCTGAGGCGACTCCAATGCTCTGAACTTAGAAGCGTGACTAAATCTTAGACCTGTGTTTATGTTGTGTCGGCATCCTTTCAATCTCAATCCACATTATTTTTGAGTAGATATATGATATATAGTATATAGTACAACTGTCGTCTTGGATGAATGTACTTTATTTGTCAATTTTCCGAAACATATTGAAGAACCAAACAGTTGGGACACAGGAAATGCAATAACAAACACATAGGAGCCATTGGTCCATAGGAAGCAGGAGGACCACTGTCCCGGATCACCAATGCCCTTCAACACTCCTCCTGCAGGTGGTTAGTCCACAGGAGCCTTGATTATCCAGCAGGAGCTTCAGGCAAAGTGACAGCAGTCATCATTGTGAGTCGTGAAGTAGGTCTTATGGTGGGCTCGAACCCACAACCTTCAGGCTCAAAGGCCAATGCTCTACCAACTGCGCCAAAGTCGTAAATAAGTAAAAAAGAGTGTCATAAATAAAATTCTTATTATCATTATACTATAACTATTATTATTATTATTTCCACAACAAAGAGACAGACAGATGGTTCTATTTGAGTTCTGAGCTGGTTCTGAGAGGTGTAAAGTTCTGACTGTCAGGAGACATATTGGTAAAAAGAACACGACTCATATCTCTCATCAAAACAAGGATTTTATTTCAGATATTTTTTATGTTTGAGTGACAAGAAAACTGCCGCTGGCCCCTCACACTCAGAGGGAGGGTCACTGCACCGTGTGTCTGAGGATTCTGAGGGCAGCTAAAGATTCTCTGAGGTCTTCATAAAAAACTGCTTCCTCCTGTAAACACAAAATAAGGTGATTCTACAACTAATAAAAAAAAAAAATACCTTTCAGATTTTTTGCATTTTCCAAAATTAGTGCACCACAAGATGAGCTGTGACACAACTGTATTATATTAACACATGTTTATGTAATATAATGGTTTTACATTAGAGCACCCTCATCCCCGAGTCCAGTTTTGAACTTTCAATCAATCATAACATGTTATTCAGTGTGCATGTTGTAAACACTGTTTTATAGCATTGAAAATTATGAGTTTACTTTTAAGAAAAGCTGTCCTTGAGGTTCAGCGCTCATTACTATAGATTCGTTTACATCAAAGCAGCGCCCCCTTTAGTCTGTATTTAGAACATTGTCAATATATGTGTATTCATCAAACTGAAATGTTCCCACTGTGGGGTGAATATAGGACATTTTGGCTCTGATGAACAAGAGCAGAGGGCAGGAACCTTTTCAGCTGAGAGAAAAGCTGAGAGAGTCGAAAAACAAAGAATACAATTCAAGTATATACTTTAAAATGAATTTCTGTGGGAGCCATACAATTTTTTTACTTTCTAAAACAAGATTAACACATATAGAGTGTGAAATTAGTCTCATGTACTATTTTGTCTATTCACATTTTCATTCTGAAGAAATTCAATATATAAAATAATATAAAACATTGTTACTATTAATGCCTACTAAGATGTGAGAGCCAGACAGGTTTGTGATCTCTCAACTAGAGCAGGGACGAACGGTCACATCGGTCTCATACTCACAGTGCTCTGGTCGCTCTTTCGTTTGCACCCTGAAAAATAATTTTAGAAAAAGTTAATAGAATATGTACAGATTTTTCTTTAACAGGACTTTTGCTTAATTCTTATGGGGGGTTAATATTTTTTTTCCCCAGTTGTTAATTGGTTGATTTTTGAATCTCCTGTTGGAAAATAATCTACGTTTGTGTGACAGTCGTGGTTGCTAACGGCAAACCACAGCTGGTCAGGTCAGATTCAAGAGAGATGAATTATAAAAGCCTCAAGCCCCCAGGAGCGACCCTTAGCTCGCCACCCCGTTGCAATGAGCTCCCCAAAGAATATAGAAATGACATAAATATGCAATAAATATATTCCAAAATGTATGATTCATATGCACAAAACTATTGTAAATGCAAACAGACTTTTAATAATGACCCAATTTTAGGCTAGCTCCCATTTCTGTTTCCCCAGACATTTAGGAGTAGTCATTGTGGTTCTAAGGAAAGTAGTTCTGTGGATGAAAAAGGCTGGAGACCCCTGCTGTAGCCTGGCCTTATCCATCCGTACACTCCGCTCAATCATCATTTCACTGCATGTAACGTCTGGGTCTGGTCCCTGAGTTAGCGATTACAATCGGTTGAATTTCGACCGACCAACCAGCGAGTGCGGAAGGCAGGCCGTTGTAGGTGACGTCAAGAGTTTGCGTCGAACGGGAAGGCCGTAGTTTGGCAATGGCGAAAAATGCGATAGTAAAGTAATCCGGTCTGGTTCTATCAAGAAATTGAAGCAGGAGCAATAGGAAATGTAATCGCTGGAACAAATTGTGGCGCTACTCGCCAAAGGGCTCCGTTAGCAGCAAAGGAGATGGCTAGGCTAAATGCTAAAAACTCACTAGGGCGCAATACATACGTCAAGGTAAACTCAGATCCAATCGTTTCAATCTGCAAAAGGAGTTAACCCCTCCCACCTGTAAACGGAGCTCAATGGAGCACCTCCAGACCTCAGTACCAAATGTAATTTGTACTATGGTGTGGTACGACCAGGCTACCCCTGTCATTTCTCTGCACTTTTTGCAGCGTAGCTTAAGATAAGGTACAGTGAGACGTCCACAAGAGAATCTATTATAATTTAGAGTTAGGGTTCCCCAAAGATAAACTCCTATTTACAAAATTTGCAGCATGTGAATCATAAAATGAATTGAGATGCAGAGGTGAGGTTTTGCAGTTCTCGAGCTGCAGGTGATTGGAGACCCATGGTGTGCTAATGGGAAAAAAGTGGAAACTAAACTGGGCTGAGGATGGAGCCCTGAGGAGCCCCAGACTGGACAGACCTGAGATGTAAGTGTAGAGGACGGTAACACTGAGGCAGAGCAGCAGAGAGCTCAGGAGAACACTGACCACCAGATACCGCAGCTTCAGACCTGAAACAACAAATAAGATGCGATCCACTGTGTCCCTGAAACTGGATCTTGAGAATATTTGCATTTCATGTTTTAGAATGTCCTTAAAATTCACAAAACAAATGTATAGGCAAAGTTTAAAAACAATTAATCAGACAGAAAGGGTGGTGGTACGCTGTTATTTATGTGAATGGAGCTAAAACCCCCTGCAGATGGTGTCAACATTTATGGACATTGGTCATCTTCCTCCTATGGACCAATGTGGTTTTTTATCACTGCATTTCTTGAGTTTGAGCTGTCTGATTTTCTGATCTGTGTTGGTGAGCTTATCGGTTTTGTAAAGTCCTCCGAGACAACTACCGGTACTGTTGTGATTTAGGGCAATACAAGAAAAAAATTGAGCTGAAGTGATTTGGCTGTAGTCCTCACCAGAGCGGGTGGGTCCATCTGTGGGCACATGAAGATGAAGACATGACTCTGGGCGATGGCAGATCTTCCACCATTTTCATCATAAACATAAAAAACTGGGCAGAAGGTGGCTCTAAAATAGACTTTTTAAAAATGCATCAACTACTGTATTGTATGTACCCGAGAACCTAAAGAAGCAAATATGCTAGATTGCCAAATAAGATAATTGGATTCTGCTTTCCAAAAATGTAGGTATCATTTGCTGAATTTGTGGCACAAGCTGGATATGGGCAGAGGAATAAACTCAAGACATTTTTTTACCAGTGCCTTTCTGATGAAATGGACAAACACAGGAAGCTGTGTAAACTTTATACACAGTCGAATATGCTGCTGCACAAGTTTAGAATATGATCTCCTGAGTTAAAGGTAACTTTATTTAAACTGGACTGCTCACCTATGTACACTGCACAGCTTCACTGCAAAAACATATGAAATATGAGGTCATAATTGTTTGAATCAAGTGTTGTTTTTTTATCTAAATTGAGTACATTCTGACAAGCCATTTTATTCTATTTCAAGAACTGTTTACCATAACCATAACTTTATTTTGTCATTCTAAGGGAGGCAAATCTTGTTTTAAGGCAGTCCAAATGTGCTCAAATTAAGATAGTTTGAGCCATTTTTGACTTGTTTTTCAACACTTTTCGCAGTGTAACATCATTTCCATATAACTTATTACATTAACTTCAAACTTAAATCAAGCAATATGATTTGTACATGTGACCTACTATCTGGAGGGACACATAAAACATGTAGTTTTAATTTAAAATGTATTTTTTGCCAATTTGTAATAACTGTATCTGTATTAAACGCTGGACTCAAACGAAACTGATCGAAGATTAACAGATTCTTTATCATTCCCCCAGTGGGGAAATGTCAGTGTTGCATCACAAGTCACAGAAGAGTAGAAATGAGCATGATGAAGAATCAAATATAATTTTTTTGTGTATATTCTAATGCAGAAATGTATAGTTGTATGTATGTGTCTTTTTTTTTTTTAGAATGATCAATTTTCTTTTTTCTTTTTGCTACTACTGGACACCTGAATTTATCATTCGGGGGATCAATAAAGTATATCTATCTATCTATCTATCTATCTATACATCTGTACATGTTAGCAGCATGAGGATCTTGGACAAAGTGACTCAAAGTGATAGTAACACATGTCTGACATTTTTCAAGTTATTATTCTACCTTGATCTAAAACTCTTGATTCTGTGGATCCTGCTCTCACCTGGAGTCTTTATGAAGCTGAAGATCCGTTTACACGTTCCATGTTCCGTCACTTCGCATTCAAGCAGATGTTTTACTTGATAAAGGAAGGGATTTTTGGGCAGACTGAGGACGGAGGCTTTCCTCAGGTATCTGATTATAATCTCTGAAGTGTCTTGGTCCACGGATCTCCCCTGGTGCAGCCATCTCACGCTGATGCCAGACACAGAACTGACCTCACACCACAGCTTCGAACCCTGCAGGTCCTCTTCCTCAATCACTGGAGAAAAAACATCAATTTCTAGTTATTCCAATCTGCAACAGAACACAGATCTGTCAGTCTGTATGACGAACATGAGGGAAGGTTCAGGACTTTTGACATTGGGCAAGTAAGATATCGATGGTATATGGCTGACGCTTGATGTAAAGGCCTGGTATGTTTGAAATGTTTTATATGAATTGAGAATTATGAATGAATTATTATCATTATCATTAAGTCAGAGGACAGTTTTGTTTAGAGTCAGCTGCTTGGAATCAGCTGTCTATAACAGCCAACCCCAACCCCAGGCCTGCGGGCCGATACTGGGCTGTGGGACATTCGAACTGGGCCACCAAGGAAAGAAATCATGTCTGTTTTCTGTGTTTATTATCCGAGTCTAAACGATCCTTCATTTTGAACAGATTCTTTCCTTACGTCTTGGTCACATAATCCTATGTGGAATGGACCCCAGGAAGACTAGCAACCACTTGTGGAAACTAAATGTTAATGGAGATAAAAATAAATACACTTTTTTATGCATCATTACAGTTGTTCCTTGGCGGACAGTGGGGATGATTCAGAACACTCGACAACACTGCCCCTCATGAACCAATGGCTCTGTGTTTTTTATCATTGCATTTCTTGTGTTTGATTCTCTGATCAGTGTTGGCAAATTTTAAGTGTTATCTTTTTTTCTTTTTTTTTTATAGTTCTTGGAGGTAACTACTGTTATGATTTAGGATTATACACGAATAAATGCAACATTGAATTGAAACCTGAGAGCTCTCCATGATGATCTGAAATACTCACGTGAGACGACGGACAGACTCTCAGGTGGTGATGGTTCGTCTGGAGAGACGAGCTGTAAACACTGATACAGTCCTGTCTCGTCTGGGAGAACATGTTGGATCTTCAGAGCACAGTCCTCAGTGAGACTCAGACGGTTGGACAGATGTGAGGGCACTACTAGGTTTGGATTCAACCACAAGTGATAATAATAATAATGCATTAGTTTTATATAGCACTTCTTTGGATACTCAAAGACCCTTCACATGTCATTATTCTTTCACTACATACACAGTGGCAGTAAACTACTACTGTAGCCACAGCTGCCCTGGGGCACATTGACAGAAGCAAGGTAACCAGTATGTGCCATCGGCTCTTCTGACCAACCATTCACACATACACCAGACTCATTCTAGGCAATGTGGGTGAAGTGACTGTTACAGCTGCAGCCATCCCACTGGTAAGTACTGTGGCAGGTCTCTCGTCACACTACTTACCAGGCCCTGCCCTGCTTAGCTTCAGAAGTCTGACGAGATCTGGCTTTCACATGCAGGTATGGGCACAATCGAATAATTATTACTTCTAAATACAGTTTAGTTTTGTACATTATAAAACAGACTACATAATAATTACATGTTTTTTTCTGAGATAATAGACTTTAATTAAATTAAACATGTTCTTGTGATAATGACATTTGATAACAATTTCAGGGGCTGCTGAAAATGGTCTCGCGGGTCGGATTTGACCCACGGGCCTGAGTTTGACACGCCTGATTGAAAACATCCACAGTAAAGAGGTCTCACCAGTGCAGAGCAGCAGCAGCAGCAGCAGCAGCAGAACTCCAGACCCAGCCATCGTCTCAATCTTCCTTTCTAATGAAATGTGAATAATACAGTAGTGTCTGCCCATGTGGCGCTAGTTTAGTCAGCACATCCTGTTTGTTCTGTTCACACAACAGGTCACATCGAACACTTTTTCACTCTTGTTATGTTTGATCCTGGAGGTCATGCATGTGGCTAAGGTTAAAAAATATGCTCCCAGTCTCCTATTGAATCTCACCATCAGTGTTGGGAGCAGCCCACCACTTACTTTTATAATATATCGCATTAATATATTAGTTTTGAAGGAGCTCATAATGGAACCAAAGGAACACTAGTGTGAGACTGCCCCCTGCTGGGCATTAGTGAGGGCACTTCAAACAGTCTTTCAACTATTCCTGTACAGAAATATTATCAATATAATAAAATGTATCATTAATTTGAAATGTCAGAATATACAATATGGAACCACACGTGTCCACTGTCACTTCACTAATCTGTACAACAATAATCTGAAGAATGCTTTGCCACTATAGCCCAGACCCTCTTGTTGCTAACATGTACAGATACATACCACTATACATTTCTTGCACTAGAATATCCAGAGTTTTACACTTGCTTCTTTATTATGTTAATGTTAGAGATGATATTTTATTTTAGTATAGAGTTATTGCTCTTGTATATTGTGCCGTGTGCTCCTCATTCCTACGGTTCTGTAACTTTTCCCACTGTGGGGTCTCTTAAGGTTTTGATTGGGGATAATAGTCTAGTAGTCTTGTAGTAGGATTTTGGAGCAGAGCTGGGTCATATCTGCATATCTTTCATCTAGAGTCGCAAGATTAATCTCAATCAAATCAACATCACAATTTAATAATTACAAAGACTGCAATTATGAAAGTCCAAAGTGTGAATGGGCTAAAGCCATCATCCTAACAACAAGTTAGAGACTAAAGTGATGTAGTTGAAGAATAAAGGCCGTTTATTTTCAACATTCAATTATTTATTACTAAGTACAACAATAATACATTTTAGATCAAGTAAACAATTTATAAAAATGTGTACACCTCATTTTTATCTTGAAGCAGCTTATGTTTCTTGCACCATCTGAGATTTGAAGAAGATACTTTTACTTCACATTTATAAACATAAATATCACACTTTTTAAGACATTAACTTATATTTAGGCACAAAAACAATGGGCCTCATTCACGAATAACTTCGTAAGAAACTACTCAACTTTCTTCTCAAGTTGTCCTTAAGTAGATTTCTAAGAAGTCCCCACGTGGGATTCATCAACGCACTCGTAAGGCGCTGAATTGTTCGCAGCTGTTCTCTCAGATTGATGAATCCCATTTCCTCGTAAGTACAGCGCGCGTGCCAGGTGCTTCATTAGCATAGGTACTTAGCATAAGTAACCGCCCACTAATGCCCATATAAGGGACTGCAGGGCCGTGTGCAGACGGCAGAGGAAACAGCAACAGGCCTAAAGCAACAGGCCACGGAGCAAAAGAGTCACCCTTCTTTTACCAGACTGAGAATAAAGTTATAAAATGTTGACTTAAAAGGTGAAATATTATGATAATAAAGTCGAACTAGCAAAATTATGAGATTAATCTAAGAATATGATGAGATTAATCTCAAAATGTTATGAGCTTAATTTAAAAATATATTATGTATTATTTTAAAGATGAATCTCAAAATGTTTTGAGATTAATCTCAAAATATTTTGGACCCTGGGAGGAGATCCAGCGCGGACCAGCGCTGAGACCAATGCAGACCCGAGGAGAGACTGGAGTGACCAGCACACAGAAACCAGCGCGGACCTATAGGAGAGACCGCATAGACTGGAGTGACCTGACTGGAGAGACCGGTGCGCAGAGACCAGCGCGGACCGAAGATAGACCGCATAGACCAGACTTGAGAGACCAGCGCGGACCCGTATGGATCCAGGAGCATGCAGCACGGACCCTTATGGAGAGACCAGTGCAGACCAGTATAGATCCATGGGAGAGACCAGTGCAGACCCGTATATGGGAGAGACCAGTGCAGACCCGTATAGATCCATGGGAGAGACCAGTGCAGACCCGTCTAGATCCATGGGAGAGACCAGTGCAGACCCGTCTAGATCCATGGGAGAGACCAGTGCAGACCCGTATAGATCCATGGGAGAGACCAGTGCAGACCCGTCTAGATCCATGGGAGAGACCAGTGCAGACCAGTATAGATCCATGGGAGAGACCAGCGCAGAGACTCAGCGCGGACCCAGTAACCTCCTGCAGCAGCAGTATATATGCCGTTGTTCTGTGGCCCGTGGATAAAGAAATGCCCCCTATAAATAGGAAGGGTCACTAATACACGGCAAGATTTCCAATGTATTTGATAAAGCGTTGGCACATTTCATTTCAAAATGAATTAAAAAGTAGGCCAGATCTGCAGTGAAAAAGGCGGTATATAAATAAAGATTACTAATAAAGATTACTACAAATAAATAAATACATACATCGATATGACGGACATATCACTGGAATGTTGTATTTTTATTCAACTTCACCAAAGAGGACAACCCCGGCGTGTGAACATGTCGGCACTGAATGCGTACGAGTGCTCCTGAGGACTCGTAGGATTTGTACTTGCCCAAGAGAAATTCTGGTTACGAGAAATATTCGTGAATGCCACTTTCTTCGTAAAAACCGCGTAAGTAGGATTTACGTACACATCTGTTCCTAAGAACCGTTCGTGAATGAGGCCCAATGATCCCAAAAATAATCTCTAAAACAATAAGACACTTTTGAATAAAGATAAATACTTAAATCTATTTAAAATGTACACAGTTCATAGATTTTAAAGGAAGGCCAGTTTTACAGACCTGTTCTTGGCCTCCGTCACAGAGACTTCATATCTCAAGGAGACAGAAACAGGACATTAGGACAGTCCTGATGATCCAGGACGCTCGACATCCAACGAAATTATCAACAATAGACATAGACATTGGTCATCTGTCCCTTATGGACCAATACCAATGTGTTTTTAAATCATTGCATTTCCTGTGTTTGAACTGTTTGATTCTCTTATCTGTGTTGGCAAATTCAACAGTGATTTAGGGCTAGACTAGCCTGGACTTAGCCATCCGTACACTCCGGTCAATCATAATTTCCCTGCATGTAACGTTTAGTTACATTTAGTTGAAACCCATTTAAATACATGCTGGTCCGGTCCTGGTCTTGGTTCTGTTCCTGGTCTCGGCCCTGGTCCTAGCCCTGGTCCTAGTTGTGGTGGTGTGGTACCGTTGGGCTCAGTGGAAGCAGAGGTAGTGGATGAGGATCTTGGGCAGGTGCAGTTGTGTGATGGCCCTCGGAGCTCTAGGTCCCAGCTGGTTCCTCACACACAGACGGCTGAGCTGCTGCAGGCTGAGGGGAGTGCCTACACACAAACACACACACGTTCAATCACACAAAACACAAACTAGACAACAAATAGGGTTTCATAAACCACAAGTGTCAAATATTACAATTAACTTTCAGCATTGATGTAAGGTCAATAAGAGCTACCATGACGTATTTGGTATATAAGGAGCAGATTACCAATGTCCATAAGTGTTGATAAAGTCCATTAATATTGTTTAGAGGTGGAGTGTCCTGGATCCTCAGCAATTCAAACATACAGTGGCATACAGTAACTGAACTCATTTTTGTTGAGAAAAATCTCCAAACTCAGGTTAAATGAAAGTAATCCTTTTGTCAAAATCACCTTCAGAATGTCAACAATGCATTCAAATATCCACAGATGCAAAGATGAGCTTCAAACACATTTATACTTTACCATTTTGTAAATCCGATTCTGATTCTGATGCCTTTGCTACATACTTTTCTTTGAGAGCAGAGCAGGTAGGCATACCCCTGGTGGCCTAAGTCTATTCTGAAACAATATTTATTTGATTTTTGCTTCATTTGAGTCTGGACAGATGCAGAAACATAGACAACCTTGTATATTAGTTCAATGAATGCATCATAGTGTTTATTGCTAACACAGCACTTGTTTCTCAATGAATTTTTTGACACATAGCAGTGACTTATGTGATTGCATGACAGAAAAACAATGTTTCGAAATGTGGGTCTTTTAGAGAATAAGACAAAAACATAGTAGAATCACACTAAACTCCTTTTAGGGCCATAGTGCATTGTAAAGGCTTCCATGTGGTCTGACGTGTGTGTGTGACGATCGCTCCAGAGCAGAGAGGTTAGACAGAGAGGTTAGACGATTTATTGTTTTTTTTATAGAGATGATAGCAAAACTATGGAAGCCCGTTTCCGCCATGTAAAAAAAAAAAGCCTACAGAAAGTCAAAATTACGACTTTAAAACTCAAAATGTTGACTTTAAAAGTCAAAATTACGACTTTAAAAGTCAAAATTACGACTTTAAAAGTCAACATTTTGACTTTAAAAACGTATGTGTTGTTGTCTGGAACGGTCTCTGGTCATCCCTGTTATAGATCCATGACCATGGGTCATCCTCTACCTGCAGATTATGTGAAGATTTTTCCTACAGACAGTGACCACATCCATGAAGTAGCAGCAATAATGTTGTGGTAGTAATCGCGTTAAAATGCAAACGGTTTCTCCGTTTATGATTAGAATCCGCTTCAGAAGCCTCTATTTAGTTTATCCTAAACGGACTGTGGAAGATTAATAATAAAACACATGTGGCTGTTCAAAGTCATTGAGCATCAACTGGTGACATCTGGTCAGTTTCACGGCTATCGATGGATGCACCAGAAATGCAGTGAATGATATTGTGACTGACAGAGACCGTTCGCGATTACAGGACAGTGAGAGAGGTCCGCAGACAGAGGCAGGAGAACCACAGACAGAGGCAGGTAAACCACAGACAGAGGCAGGAGAACCACAGACAGAGGCAGGAGAACCACAGACAGAGGCAGGAGAACCACAGACAGAGGCAGGAGAACCACAGACAGAGGCAGGTAAACCACAGACAGAGGCAGGAGAACCACAGTCACGGGCACTGACAATATTACCCTTTTGGAATTGCGATCAGTGCATTGAAGAGTATGTGACGTGTTTGCGTGCACGCGGGGGTGAGCTGATGGAGCGAGCGTGTGGTAAAGTTGTTAGCGTATGAGCAAGAACACAGAGACATACAGGGAATAAGTACCTTGTCTGATTATTGTATTGTGACAAAATAAAGCCCACGACTCTTTTAGCAACAATCCGGAGAAATAACTCTGCAGATAACAGTGAGGGTCTTTGAAAAGGGAGTTAAACCCATTATAGATGCATGAATAAAACCCCGTACTCAACACGTAGAAAGCGCATAATTTCAGCCGTGGAAAGACTCGCTCCGTGTAGACCCCTCTCAGCGTCATCGTCTGGTCAGAGTGGTCTACAGCAGATTGGATTGGAATGTCTCGATGGCTCATTTTCCTTTGATTTATTGTAAAAACATATTGCTCACATTATTTGTTACTATGTCGAAATAATAAGTCGTTTGATTTAAATGTTGTATATATGTAAATTGAATTTAACATAAATAAATAAAAAGACAGCTCCCCCCTGCGTCCTACGACCGCGGTCTGGGGCTTAATTGATTTTACAGAATCAATCAAACAACATTATTTCTGGCTACTTCAAGGATGCAGTGGTCACTGTCAGCAATATCTTCACATAATCTGCAGGTGAAGGATGTCCAGAGACCGTTCCAGACAACAACACATACGAGTTTTCAACTGCACATGCGCAGTTGAAAACTCGTAATTTTGACTTTTAAAGTCGAAATGTTGACTTTTAAAAGTCGTAATTTTAAGTTTTAAACTCAAAATTTTGACTTTCTGTATGCTTTTTTTTTTTTACATGGCGGAAACGGGCTTCCATACAAAACAAATGATTAAGTACATGTACATAACAACTCTTTCTGATATTGTTCCAAATCCTTCTAAAACTGTTCAAATATATGCTTGTACGTACCTGCTTTTTATTATGCTAAAAAAAGGGACTTTATTTTATTTTATTTAGTAGAGTTATTGATCACTTATCTTGTTATCTTGCTCCTCATTCCTACTGTTCTGTAACCGGTGATCCAACACTGACATTTCCTCACTGTTGGACCAATTAAGGATCTCTTCATCTTACTCTTAAATGTGGAGCTGAGGTGTGACCGTGGGCAGGTTGTACTCACTCTGGTGGTGGTGCAGGCGCCGTGAGGAGGGCGTCCCAGGCCGGGTGTAGTCCGTGGGGCTGCGGTCGTGCTGGTCTCTGGCGTAGACGTTGGCTCCGTGCTCCAGCAGGAGGCGGATCACCTCCTCACTGTGGTTCTTTGCCGCGTGGTGCAGCGGTGTCTGGTGCATTCGGGCCGCGTTCACTTTGGCTCCTGACGAAAACACACACGTCTGATTCGTTGTGGAATAAATCATCTTGGAATTCCAAACTAAAAGGAATAATGAAAACTTTGGCTAATATTGTTGAACCCAACTTGGAATTTAAAGTTAAATAGTTAAATATAAGTAATTGAAATATCAGTCTTCTTTTTGTTTAGTACGGTTTTGTTTTGATCTGAACTCATTGTAGGAGCCTAAACAGTTTTGCGTTTTTAATATATTTTGAATATTTCATTTTTTTTATTTTTATATTTTATTGAAATTTGAATGTTGTGGCTCTTTCGGTAACTTTTTCCAGGATTCTGGCACCAGGCCACAGTGTGGAGAGTGGAGTGGAGCCACACAGTTTTTAGACCTTGCTCCCTGACTTGCTCTATTCTTGTATCTAAAGGTAAAGGTAAAGGTAAAGGTGCACTTTATTGAACCCCACAGGGCAATTCATCCTCTGCATTTGACCCATCCTGATGCCGCTAATGCTTACCTCAGTAGCGGTGGTCGCCGTAGTACAGCGCCCAGGAACCCATCTCCAGATGTTGATGCTCGGCTTGGTCAGGACTATCGGAGCTGGAGGATTTAACCTAGTGTGCATGTTTTTAGAGGTAGAAAAACCGGAGTACCCGGAGGAAACCTATGCAAGCACGGGGAGATCATGCAAACTCCACTCAGAAATACCCCGTTCCGACCAGGATTTGAACCCAGGACCTTCTCTTGCCTTATTCCTGCTAAAATACTGTTATTATTTGTCCTGTTGTATTTTGCACTTTTAACCCAGTATAAGTTCCTAATTGCACCTATTCTCATGGATCTATTTACCGCAAGCGTCCACTATATGGCTTCACTGTTTCAAACGCTACACTCATATTGTTTATGTATCAAAAGATACATAATAGAATAGAGTATGACAGGCCTGGTTAGGATAGAGGACAGGGCACAGACCTGCCTGCAGCAGCACTCTCACACAGTGGGCGTGGTCCTTCACACAGGCCACATGCAGCGGAGTGCCGTGGTACATGTCGTAGGCCTCCAGAGCTGCTCCCATGGAAACCAGCAGCTCCACACACTCCCAGTTCCCTGAGCAAAGAGCCAGGAACAAGACATCATCAGAAAATCAATCAATCAATCAAACCATATTTGTATAACCAGGGATGCACATAAGAGGTACGCAGGTACGCATGCGCGACAAATATCAGAAATGCGTACTATCACTTGAGTTAGTAAGCGCCTTTGCGTACTTCACATAGACCATAGACCAGTCCTTTTCAGTGGGGCGCTCCTCCCTATAGGGGTGCGTGGTGCAATGCCAGTGTGACGGAGCGGTCCGTCTCTGGCTACGTGCGCGTATATAGTATTATACTAAAGGCTGACTTTCATGCCGCACGTGCCACACACACACACAGCCGTGTTTGGCAAAGTCTGCGGCTGGTTACAGAGGAGGTAACTTGAAACTTAAAGGTGACCTATGTGTCAGTGTGAACTAACTAACTAACTCCACCTAAGCACTGGACTCCGAGCTCGCCTGTTTTATCAAACAGAACATTGTTTGATTTTTTGTTTTGTTTTGCATTTTTAGGAAAGAGACCTGTGAGTAATTATTTGACTTGGATTGAGTGGATTATCTGAGTTGATCTAAACTTTAGCATTAAAAAAAGCAAGTATAAAATCTCCATTAAGAACCACGCGACAAATGGAGTGAGTACCAAACACCATCTCCTGGTACTCATCTGAGAACCTCACTGAAAAAATTATGTGCACCCCTGTGTATAACAGGCCATCTGCAGTATGGGGGTGCAATAAGTGTTTCCCATCACATAAGATTAAAAACTTTAAATACTATAAACTAGGGATGTAAAAAACTATGATTTTTCATGTAAAAAACTATGATTTTTCATGTAAAAAAACTATGATTTTTCATGACCGGACCACCGAGGCCTCATTAACCGGTTGAAACCGAGTTAACCGGTGTGCATTGTTTAAATTAGTTATTTGAAATAACAGCCATTTCAAGCCGCATACTTCTCATAAGAGCAGCTATACGTTCTACTGGATCAGAGCCGAGACAGCGGCGCCAAAACCCACAACAACTTCGGCACCTTTGAGCACAGAGAACTGCTTTAATCTTCCCATTCTGCTGTGCTGCGGGTTGAAGCATTTTTAAGCAAAAAGAGAGCAGTCTTTTGTTCACTAGGTCAGAGCAGCAAGTGACGAGCCGCGTCTCGCAGGTCTCCGCTAAAGTTTAAAAGTGATGTCTGTGGAGCTGATGCCAATTAGGACCAGCAGCACAAACATGTTTCAAGTGGTTTGACTGGAGCAGTGTATTTGCGAGGATTCTTTTTGGCTGTGTGACAGAGGAGCGCGACAGACCGGTATGTGTGTGTGTACAATACATGCATGTGTGTATGTGTGTGTAAATATAAGCTCCAATGTAGTTCTGAATCGCACCAGTGTGCAACTAGCAGACGGTATACACTAGGTTTAACAGAGGGGGAGAGATGATGCGTGTGGATGTTTACGTATCGAAAGTGTGTGTGTGCTAGTGTGTCTGTGCGCGCGTGTGTGCGTGTGCATGTGTGCGTGTGCATGTGTGCGTGCATATGTGGCGCGTGCGGCGAGAGAGTCAGCCCGGAGTTTACTGATACATTGGCGCACACAGCTAGATACGGACCCGCTCATTACACGTGCAAATAGGGCTTAAAATAGCGTTATGAAAAGACCTCCCCTCCCCTTCCCCTTTTTCTCGTTTTTAACCGACAGCTTTGACCGGTTAACGCTGTGACGGTCAACCACCACCGGTTAAACGGTCACCGATTTACATCCCTACTATAAACTCAATAAAGTGGATGAGATAAGGCGGTTGGCTCCGAGGCTTCTGTCTGAGACCGGCGGGGTAAAAAGATTGTTGATCCACGTGGGGGCAGTAGACATCTATGACAACACAAGTGAAAAGTTGAAACGGGATTACTCTCTATTATTGGACGACCTTGCTAAAATGGACGCAACAATCGTTATCAGTGGCCCACTACCAAATGTGGACGGGAAGCAAATGAAATTCAGTCGCCTGTATCAGCTAAATACTTTCCTACTCAACGAATGTTCACGCAGAGGACTTGCCTTCATTGAGAATTTTAATCTGTTCTGGAATAGGCATGAGCTTTTTGAAGGGAAAGGGCCACATCTGAACACTTACGGAGTAAAAGTGTTGATGGATTTCCTTTCTTTTGCCCTGAGACCTCAGCCTGCCGAGCGTGCAGCCATCGAAAGGGAGGGAAGCCGACTCTAAAAGTCTCTGCACCTCCACCACCTCGAAGGATCTCAACACCTCCACCACCTCGAAGGATCTCAACACCTCCACCACCTCAAAGGATCTCAACACCACCACCACCTCGAAGGATCTCAACACCACCACCACCTCGAAGGATCTCAACACCATCACCGCCTCAAAGGATCTCAACACCTCCACTGGCATCAGAAGCAGCTGCATCATCACCAGCAGCAGCTGCATCATCACCAGTAGCAGCACGACCACCACCACCAACATCCTCATCCCTAGCCTGCTCCAAAGCAGCCACGCCTTCTTCATCTACAGCGCCTCTGAAGCCCCCATCCTCACCCCAGCCTACAGCAGACAGGCCTGTGCTGGGGTTTCCTCAACCACCTGCCCCTCCATCAAAGACTCCCTCGCCACCTCCCATGGACCTGTCTTGGGTCCCCCTGCCACGTCCACTCCATCAAGAGAGAATGGGGACAACGTCCCTTTGTTTTTCATCCCCGCCTTCACTGTTAGACCTACCTGAACACTCTGCAGGGCTAATAAAATCGGCGATGAAGACTATTCCTCTCACACCCATATTAGCTAGATCTAAAGTCCTGTCCAACATGCTAAACCACTCCCCATATGTACCTCCAAAACCACCTAGGGTTTCCAATTCACCTACAAAAACCACCTCAGCCAATCCCTCCCCCAACCTCATGATTCCACCCCCACTTCCCCCTCGTTCAACACCCAAAACCTCTGCCTCAGCCCACCCCGGCCCAAACTCATCACCAAAAAACCCCTCCACCTCCCTGCCCCCCTCGTTCAACAACCAAAAGCCACCCACCTCTCCATCCTCCTCCCCCGCCTTCCCCTTCCCCTCTTTTCTCTAAACACTAGGAAGCACAGGGTCTCTGCTTCGCAGCCACTGGCAGTCTAGTTAGAGGAGAGACCCGGCTGGAGCCCTGTCATGAAGCCACCTGTGCCATTCCCTTAGTGATAACACAAAGAATACATTACAGAAAAACATCTGGAGTTAAAATCAGTCTAATCTGGAAAATCTAATTCTTGTTCCGTGTAAGAATCAGCCGACCACAACCGCTGATACTGAAACTTTGAAACTTGCTACGCTTAATGTCAGATCTCTTTGTGGACAAGTCTTTTTTAATCAATAATTTTATTTGTTCTCATAATCTTGATCTTATGTTCATGGCTGAAACTTGGCTTGATCAAAATTCAGGAAATGCAGTTTTAATAGAAGCATCACCACCAAATTTCAAGTTTGAATCTGAAATACGGGAAAACAAAAAAGGAGGAGGCTAAGCTGCCATTTTTAGAGACCACTTTGTCTCCCATAGAATGTCTCTTGGGAAGTTTTCATCATTTGAATATGTGTCTTTTAAAATACAACAAAAACAATCTCCTCCAATACTCTTCATTGTCCTATACAAGCCACCGCAGTCATGTCACAGTTTTATTGATAATTTTACCGAGTTGCTTTCAGTTGTATGCACAGATTTTGATAGTTTGGTTATTACAGGTGATTTTAATATTCATGTGGATAATGTTGATGACAGAAATGCAAATGAGCTGAGTTCTGTACTTGAATCCTTTGATCTCACACAGCATGTGAGTGGCCCCACCCACAGCAGAGGGCACACTCTAGATCTGTTAGTTACTAAGGGGGTAAATATTTCAAATGTAAACGTGGTTGATGTTGCTCTTTCGGATCATTTCTGTGTTTTTTTTGACATGTGTTTCACTAACAAACCACCAGTGGACTCTGCAACTGTACGAAGAAGACACATAAATGAAAATACGAGTGAACTATTTATGGGAATGATAAACTTTGAGAATGCATCGTATTCTACTGTAGATGAACTGTTTAACTCTCTCACCTCTAGTGTTTTGAATGTTCTGGATACCGTTGCCCCTGTGAAGGTTAAAATAGTGAAAAATAAGCAGAAGGCGCCGTGGGCTAAAGCAGACTCGGTCAGGGCACAAAAGAGATAGTGCCGGAGGGCCGAGCGGAAGTGGCGCAAGTCCAACCTCCAGGTTGATTACGAGATCTTCAAAGATAAGTTGTGCGAGTTTAACCGGGTGCTACGTAGTACGAGAGAAAGGTATTTTTCTGAAATGATTGAAGGCTGCAGCAACAATCTGCGTTGCACCTTCTCAACAGTAATATGATTAAAACAAACCCCCCTGTCCAAAACGAGATAATCACATTTTTTCAATGACAGTTTGATTGTCTCCTCCACATGCAGCTCTGGATGTAACTACCCACTAGATTTCTGAAGAGATCTGTTCTGACATGCAGCTTGTGTACTGTTTCTGACTGTTCACAGTCTGTTACCTTCACTCACACAGATAGTAAACATGTCCCTTCATTCTGGAATATTCCCAAAGGCCCTGAAAACTGCAGTCATCAGGCCCCTGCTAAAAAAGAGCAGTCTCGATGCTACGGTACTTAACAACTATCGTCCCATCTCAAATCTGCCATTTATGGGGAAAGTCCTTGAGAAAGTTGTCTACCTACAGCTTACTAGATTTCTTATAATCAACAACTCATTTGATATGTTTCAGTCCGGCTTTAGACCCCACCACAGCACTGAGACTGCTCTTGTTAAGGTTACAAACGATATCCGGCTGAACACTGACGCAGGCAAAGTCTCAATCTTAATCTTGTTAGATCTAAGTGCTGCCTTTGACACTGTCAACCATGAGATCCTCTTACAGAGACTAGAGGACTGGGTTGGAGTCGCTGGCACCGCCCTAAGTTGGTTTAGGTCTTACCTTGAGGACAGGAAGTACTTTGTGGAGATTGGAAACTGTGTCTCAGATCATATGGCCCTGACCTGTGGAGTCCCACAGGGGTCGATCCTGGGACCTCTTCTGTTCAATCTCTACATGCTGCCGTTAGGTCAATTAATACGCAAAAACGAAGTTTCCTATCATAACTATGCAGACGACACTCAGATCTATGTCTCACTGACTGCAGGAGAACATGGACCAGTGGACTCACTCCTTCACTGTATCCAACAGATCAGTGGGTGGATGCAAAACAACTTCCTTCAGCTAAACGCAGACAAAACTGAAATGATTGTCTTTGGTCCCCAGAAACAAAGAGAGAGCGTCATCTGTCACCTACAGTCTCTCTCCCTAAAACCTTCAAACAAGGTCAGAAATCTAGGGGTAATACTGGACTCAGACTTAGATTTTAATAGCCACATCAAATCAGTAACATCAGCAGCTTTTTACCATCTAAAAAACATTGCCAGGATCAAAAACATAGTGTCTAAAGCAGACCTGGAGATTCTTATCCATGCATTTGTCTCCAGTAGGTTAGACTACTGCAATGGCCTGCTCACAGGTCTGTCCAAACAGGCTGTAAAACAGCTGCAGTACATTCAAAATGCAGCAGCTCGAGTCCTGACAAGAACCAGGAAGTACGACCACATTAGTCCAGTCCTCAGGTCTTTGCACTGGCTTCCTGTGGCTCAGAGAATAGACTTTAAAACAGCTCTGCTTGTGTACAAGTCTCTCCATGGCCTCGCACCAAAATATATTAGTGACATGTTAGTCCCATATGAACCAGCCCGGACTCTGAGGAGCACAGGGACTGGACTCCTGTTAGTGCCCAGAGTCAGAACTAAACATGGGGAGGCTGCTTTTCAGATTCATGCTGCTAAAACCTGGAACAGTCTTCCTGAAGATGTGAGACAGGCCTCCTCTCTGACAATGTTTAAAACCAGGTTAAAGACAGTTCTGTTTAGCTGTGCATACAACTGAGGGATTTTATATTTGTATCTTTCTTTTTAATGTTCTGTGATTATGATTTTAATGCTTTCTTGTTTTGTTCAGCACTTTGAATTGCCTTGTGTATGAATTGTGCTATATAAATAAACTTGCCTTGCCTTGCCTTGCCTTAAAAATCTTCATCATTGAACCCTGCTGCTGTCAGCTGCCCTCAACCAAGGTGAGTCGGTGGGGGAGGGGCAGCCTCGCGCATCCCAGAAAGTGTGAAACATAGGTGGACGTGTTTTTGGTCAAAGGTTGGTGTTTTTGGCAGTCCAAGCCGTCAGGTGCAGCCAATAAACATTGAAGAGAGTGGAAAACAGGCTCAAAGCAGAGGTATGAACAGAGACATGCAGCCCATGGATAGTTGAGAGTCTAAGCTCTGGTTTGATCTTTAAAGAGTTCAAAAACAGTCTGTATTGACAGAGTTATGACTCTCTACAGAATCCTATTTGACACAGAAGCAGACACTACGCAGCGGGCGGAGAATATGTGCGCGACGAGCGTCGACAGGGCGCGTCTTAAATAGCAGAAAGAATGATGCATTTCCATCATGTTTAGTAAATAAAGCGGTGAGCTGCTGTGAACCAGTTCTGAGCCAGGACTGAGCCAGGACTGAATCTGAACCAAGATTAACCAGTTAACCCCAAGTTTAACAACCCCTTTGACTATTACAGCCATTCCCAAAGTCAATAACGCCGCGGCACCCTTAAAAATCTGACGGGTCTGCGCGCCCCCCCCCCAAAATGTAAATGACGCACCCCATTTTGTGATACAAAAATGATTACAATTTGATTATTCAAGTCAAATAATGAACACAAATATTTTAATTTTACAAAAAAATTTTTATAAATTTAACTTACAATAGATATATTTAAAAAAAAATGTATGACCTCTCACGGCCCCCCTGCAATACCCTCGCGACATGGGAGACACTGGAATATTAGAATACACCGAATAACAGCGAGTGGCCCCTTTTGGCTGTTTCTTACGTAAAAGTGGAAAGAGAAGCAACGGGGATGAGCTGCCAAAATGCACATTTTAAACTTAATTGTTTTTAAATCGGAAAGAGTTTTGCGACTACTTTCACTGCACACATGTTCACTGTGACCAATGTCCATGAACATTTATCAACATTCATAGACATTGGTCTCCTTATGGACCAATGCGAATGTTTATTTTCTGTGTCTTAAAGGAATAGTTCACCGTTTTTACATACTGACATATGTTCTTACCTTACCTTAGACTAGTTAATATGTACCTATCTGGTCTTAGTCCGTGCGCTCTGTCATGCAAACGGAGCAAAAACGGGAGCACAACCGCAGCCTCCTCTGTATATTTTGTAGCACCAAAAGGTAGCTCCCGCTAGAAGCTACCAAACTCTTCCAAGTGTTCCCTATTAAATGTATATAGTTACGTGACGTGTTACACTGCAAAGTATAGTAACACAGAAATGTAACAGTCGATTTTCTCAGCGGATAAAACGGGTACTATATTGTGAGGCGTAGTAATCTGAGGGGCGCTACGTCCGCAGAGAAGTTAGGAGCGCTACGTCCGCGCACTAACTTCTCTCCGGAGACTTCTCTCTCGCTGCTACTGTGTGTACTACAAGTCACGCTGCTTCTATTGACGGAAGTGAGCGAGAGAGAAGTCTCCGGAGAGAAGTTAGTGCGCGGACGTAGCGCCCCTCAGATTACTACGCCTCACAATATAGTACCCGTTTTATCCGCTGAGAAAATCAACTGTTACATTTCTGTGTTACTATACTTTGCAGTGTAACACGTCACGTAACTATATACATTTAATAGGGAACACTTGGAAGAGTTTGGTAGCTTCCAGAGGTGTGGACTCGAGTCATGTGACTTGGACTCGAGTCAGACTCGAGTCATGATTTTGATGACTTTAGACTCGACTTGACCAAATATAAAAAGACTTGCAACTCGACTTGGACTTTAACATCAATGACTCTGACTTTCACTTGGACTTGCGCCAATTGACTTGCAAAGACTTGCGTAACCCGGGCCATTTTTACCTTTCTCCGCATCTCTCTTTCTATCTATGCCGTCTCTGAAGAAACAAAGCCTCGCGGTAGTTGTAGCGCTCGCGCGAGAGTTCGAACGTGAGTTCCCCGCAGTTCGCGCAGCAACACTTCCCTAAACAAGCGGACTGCATTCACCGGTGGGTGTGTTGTCGTAGGGGAGCTGGAAATGAGCGAGCTGCAGGTATTTATCGCAACCTAACGTCATATTTTGTTCTACAAACCGTAATTGATATGCTTTCACTACAGGCGCCTCATACAATTGAATCGACGCAGTTGTCACACTGTGTGCCGTGTTTTAAAGAGGAACTGGTGAGTCAAACTAGCGCTAGCCTGCGCTGCTCTGTTAGCTCTTTCTTATATTTTTCTGTGTGCGCGCCGAGGCCTATTATTATGAGTATGTTTTTGCTGTGCTCCTCCTGCTAAAGTTTGCATACATTAGATAGTTGTTTTGATTATGTGCACTAAGCTAGATTAATATTTGCACTATTGTTTATGGTGCATTGATATGAGAATCAGTGCTTTGACTGATTGAATTAATTTATATGAGACATTTTATTATGTAATGATATATTGGTAATTATGAGATATTACTAATGCTGGCCCAGTTCATACAGGCCAGGTTCCTTCCCCTCCATTGGTCCCTTCAGTCCTTTGGAACAATAACCACTACGGACATTAAACTGATTATATAGATACAGGTCCTAGCCCAATACTCATATTCATATATGCTGCACTTGCTACTTCCCATTAAAAACCCCAAAGATAAAAAGTATGTTTACACGGACTGCTCTGATTTTATGTGTGGTCTGTGCATGTGTAACTGAGCCTGCATCTGGCACAACATCCAATTAGATCACGTAGATAGTTTTGATTTACCAGCAGCCAACCACATGGAACAAACTGTTAGTCCATGGGTCAGAGACCAACGAGAATGCACCAGCAAAATGATTCCTAACATTATTTTGTTTGCCTACAAAAGTACGTGGAGACCAACAAGAAACAAATCGCGGTCAAAAAGACTCGAGAGGACTCGAAAGTCAAACCGTAGGACTTGGGACTGACTTGAGATTTGTTGGCCTTTGACTTGGACTCGACTCGGGACTTGCCTGTCTTGACTCGTGACTTGACTCGGGACTTGAGGGCAATGAATTGAGACTGACTTGTGACTTGCTAAACAATGACTTTGTCCCACCTCTGGTAGCTTCTAGCGGGAGCTACCTTTTGGTGCTACAAAATATACAGAGGAGGCTGCGGTTGTGCTCCCGTTTTTGCTCCGTTTGCATGACAGAGCACACGGACTAAGACCAGACAGGTACGTATTAACTAGTCTAAGGTAAGGTAAGAACATTTGTCAGTATGTAAAAACGGTGAACTATTCCTTTAACTGTAGATTCTCTGATCTGTGTTGGTGATTTCAATGGTTTTGTTAAGTCTCTGAGATGATACTGTTGTGATATAGGGCTATACAAGAATAAATTGTATTGTATTGTATTGTACTGTGATGCCCTCTACAAGTGTGCAAGGGGCGCCATGATATATTTTTGTCTGGGGCGCCTGATGGCCTAGGGCCGGCCCTGGTTGAACGGTATTTACGACCGGTCAATAAGTAAGTGATTGATTGGTGATTATTCTTATTCTTATTGTTATATGGCTTCTGTAACAACCAGAGAAGCAGTGTTTTGCATACGTTGCGTACCTCCCATACAGGCCTCGTGCAGTGGGGAGGCCGTGCGAGACGTCAGCGCTGGATTCGCTTTAGCTCCATGTTTCAGCAGTAGACGCACACACTCCAGACTCCCGCTGCTACAGGCCTCACAGAGCGGGGTGCTGCCGTCCACGTTCCGGGCCTCCACCTGCAAATCAGGACCACAACGACACTCTTACACAGGGATCAGGTACAAGGGGGAGGTGGAGAACATGTTGAAACACAATCACACCAGTTCCTACTGTTTGTTCAGTCAGCCTTCAGCACTGGTGCTAAAATAACTTCTCCACTAGGCATGCAAAGTGCCTTTGTATAACACTGGAGAGGAGCAGAGCTTGGAACCAGCAGCCAACTAATGTGTACTTGACTCTTTTGATGAGAGTGGCATCAACAGTGTCTTGTCTTTTCATTTAATTATTTTTTTCAACAAATAATGTCTCTATTTTATATGCAGTGGCACCACTTTTGCACATGTTTCCATGTTTACAACAATAACCACAATAACTACAATAATAACTAAACTGTTTTTTATTGAACTGTTAAATATAAAAACAGAAAAGTGAAAAGTGGGGAGTGCATATTCATACAGTATTTTAGTACATTAAATGGCCTTTAAAACATATGTAAGATTGCTGAATGTTCACACTGAATGCATATGCAAGGCCCCTGGTTACTCTGGACTTGGGAGTTGATTTATTGGAACTTTATCAAACCAATAAAAATGCTTTAGTATTAATAAAAAGGCGCTGTGACTTTTGCTGTAAATGAATTTGAAATCAACCAGCGCTGATACTGGGCTCGAAGCCAATACATGGTGCGCCCTGTGTGGACACAATGTTGTAAAGTGGATCTATGGAGGGGTCAAATTCCCATACGGAACAATAAGGTGTACTTTCAAGAGTGCATGTGTCCATGTGTGTGTTGTGACCTGAGCTCCGGCCTCCAGCAGCAGCTCCACACACTGCACCTGTCCCCTCAGACAGGCCTCGTGCAGCGGGGTGATGGAGTCCACCGCCACCACATTCACCGAGGCACCACCTTCAATAAGCTGACGCAGGGCAGACGCGGCGCCTTCATAGGCAGCTTTGTGGACCTCTGTGCGCTCAGACCAGCAGCCTGTGGGCAAACACAGAGAACCCTTCCTATGTGAGACTGTAACAGGACTCTGAGTACAATTGAGGTCGCTCATGTTTTCAAGACAATGTTTTTTGTGTCCTGACATTGTCATCACCTGTTTCAAGTTAGAATAGTAATTTATAACAATAAGAATTTCTAGACCAGGGGTACCCAAACGTATTCACCCAAGAGATGAAATTAAAACATCTCATGAGGACTGTTAGTGTTAGCTTAAAATATTACTTACATTGATATTTAGGATTTGATTTTTTTCAGCGAAGCCATGTCGACACTCTCAATCTATTTCAAGGTTTTTTCAGTGCAAATGTATCACAATAGATCCTTTATCTAAATTTCACAACCCCTATCACAGACTAAAGTAAACAACCAGGTCTATACTGTACTTTATACATTTGAATTTTAATCCCCTTTGAAATAACAGTGTTATAAGGTACTATAAACTCTGTGCGACTGATACAGGTGTGTGCCATGTTTCAAAGTATGGTGCAAATATTATCCATCATGGCATTCAATTGCAGGTGTTCGTCTACACGGGTCAGTGGTCCAGAGTGGTCTTGACACTTCAAGAGCATGGATACGCTGCGTCAGGATCATAGACTGCATATTTAGGATGAGTTATGAGGGAAAGAGTGCATATTTCACCTACAAATCCCAAAAGTCAGAGATACTATGTGATACAACTATGTGTAAAAGGAAACTGGGATTTTGAGAAGCAGAGACGCATATTCCTGATCACAGATAATCTACTGTATGGTCAGAAGTGTGCAAAGAACACAACTCCCCTGAAAGTCTCTCTATGCATTCTGCCATCCTAAACATAGCTGCCACAGCCCTATCTTATTACTGAACTCCTGAACTAAGAGTTCGCGTTATGTTAAATCCATAGTATGCATTGTAGCCTGGTCTAAACACGAGTGTAGGTACTAGCTAGCGTTAGCTTTAGCGCTGGGCAAAAAAAGAAAGGCAGCGCCGCCGGTAAAGAAGATTATAATTAGCTCATAAACATAAGTTATATCTTACCAATATCTCCGAAGAAATACGGCTGTGCACTTCCAGTCTCCATGCTGTTTTAGCCGCTTTGCTAACTCATGAGCTAACGCTACAGAGGAGCTAGCCGAGGAGCTAGCATGTGCGCTGCTGTGTTTACAAACAGCTGCCCACGTGAGCTGTATGACAGGTGTATTACTGCCACCTGGCGTTTGTGTTCAGAAATCAAATCAGTATTACTGTAATAATCCATACTCATACCAAAACTCATTCTGCTGATGAGTCCTATGCTTTAATCAGACTCATCATGGTTTTATTTACAATTATCCAAATGAAATAATTCCTTCAGATTGCAGGTTACTACCAATATAATACAGCTATGGCTGTTACTTCTCCCGGCACAGTTGCCCCAAACTTAAAGCACAGGTGTCTTAACACGCACACATACAAAATGATAATACTGTGAGTAGTCTCCCGTTTGGTTTCACTCGTCTGACCTTTGTCACATCTTTAGATCAGCCTTTTCTGAAAGAAAAGTCACTTTTTTCCTTTCTTCACTTCTTATGAGACAATTGTCTCATAAGAAGTTTTATAAGACTATTTCAGTTCGGAAATCAGTGGGAAATCTTTATAAAAGAAAAATGTTTTGTAGCCCAGTTTTTTCCTGGGGATGGCAGGGTCACCTATGTTTTAGTTAAAAGTCACATGACTATTCCTAACTGTATCCTGATCTCTTTTGTGTTATTTATCAGGTTTATTTTGCAGATTAAATTATTATTTGAGAACTTTCAGATGGATTGGGTGGAAATTTGTAACTGGAAAGTCCTTTCTTGGCCATCCTGCATGTATCTATTAGCATAGTAGCAGTCTGTAACTAACTAAAGGAAACAATTCATCCAATCCACTGATTTTATTATATTGTAGATGCGCACCAGTTTTGATTCAATACCGTTACATAAATTATGGAATGAATCGTGCTTTAGCTGAAAAGGTGAAGTATGAGTCTCTGCATAATTTGGATTGATCAAAATAACTTCTGCTATCGACTTAAAATGTGAATCCTCAAAAGTATAATATGCAAAAGTGTGTTTGCACAACACAGCGTAATTGACAGTTTGAGATTAAGGTACCTCATTGCTTTGTATCATTACATAGACAAATGAGAAATGGGAGATCCAGCCATTCATTATTTTCCAATATACAGTGCCTTGCGAAAGTTTTTGCCCCCCATTGAACCTTTCAACATTTCGCCACATTTCAGGCTTCAAACATAAATATATACAATTTTAATTTTTTGTCATGAATCCACTGCAAGTGGGACACAATCGTGAAGTGGAATGAAATTTATTGGATAATTTAAACTTTTTTAACAAATAAAAAACTGAAAAGTGGGGGCGTGCAATATTATTCGGCCCCTTTACTTTCAGTGCAGCAAACTCACTCCAGAAGTTCAGTGAGGATCTTTGAATGATCCAATGTTGTCCTAAATGACTGATGATGATAAATAGAATGCACCTGTGTGTAATCAAGTCTCTGTATAAATGCACCTGCTCCTTGATAGTCTCAGGGTTCTGTTTAAAGCGCAGAGAGAACCATGAAGACAAAAGAACACACCAGACAGGTCCGAGATACTGTTGTGGAGAAGTTTAAAGCCAGATTCGGATACAAAAAGATTTCCCAAGATTTAAACATCTCAAGGAGCACTGTGCAAGCAGTTATATTGAAATGGAAGGAGTATCAGACCACTGCAAATCTACCTAGACCCGGCCGTCCCTCCAAACTTTTATCTCAAACAAGGAGAAGACTGATCAGAGATGCAGCCAAGAGGCCCATGATCGCTCTGGATGAACTGCAGATAACTACAGCTGAGGTGGGAGAGTCTGTCCATAGGACAACAATCAGTCGTGCACTGCACAAATCTGGCCTTTATGGAAGAGTGGCAAGAAGAAAGCCATTTCTCAAAGATATCCATAAAAAGTCTTGTTTAAAGTTTGCCACAAGCCACCTGGGAGACACACCAAACATGTGGAAGAAGGTGCTCTGGTCAGATGAAACCAAAATCGAACTTTTTGGCCACAATGCAAAACGATATGTTTGGCGTAAAAGCAACACAGCTCATCACCCTGAACACACCATCCCCACCTCAGCTGTAGTTATCTGCAGTTCATCCAGAGTGATCATGGGCCTCTTGGCTGCATCTCTGATCAGTCTTCTCCTTGTTTGAGATGAAAGTTTGGAGGGACGGCCGGGTCTTGGTAGATTTGCAGTGGTCTGATACTCCTTCCATTTCAATATAATTGCTTGCACAGTGCTCCTTGAGATGTTTAAAGCTTGGGAAATCTTTGTGTATCCAAATCCGGCTTTAAACTTCTCCACAACAGTATCTCGGACCTGCCTGGTGTGTTCCTTTGTCTTCATGGTTCTCTCTGCGCTTTAAACAGAACCCTGAGACTATCAAAGAGCAGGTGCATTTATACAGAGACTTGATTACACACAGGTGCATTCTATTTATCATCATCAGTCATTTAGGACAACATTGGATCATTCAAAGATCCTCACTGAACTTCTGGAGTGAGTTTGCTGCACTGAAAGTAAAGGGGCCAAATAATATTGCACGCCCCACTTTTCAGTTTTTTATTTGTTAAAAAAGTTTAAATGATCCAACAAATTTCATTCCACTTCACGATTGTGTCCCACTTGTTGTTGATTCATGACAAAAAATTAAAATTTTATATCTTTATGTTTGAAGCCTGAAATATGGCAAAATGTTTAAAGGTTCAAGGGGGCCGAATACTTTCGCAAGGCACTGTATCTGTTGCCGGGTCGGGGGGGAAAGCAGTCTAAGCAGGGACGTCTTCCCTCTCCAAACACACTTCCTCCAGCTCATTCGGGGGAATCCTAAGACGTACCTGGGCCAGCTGAGAGACTTTATAGTCCCTCCAGTGTGTCCTGGGTCTTTCCCCAGGGTCTCCTCCCGGTGGGACATGCCTGGAACACCTCCCCAGGGAATCCCAAACAGATGCCGGAGCCACTGACAACTGGCTCCTCTCAAGATGGAGAAGCAGCGGCTCTACTCTGAGCTCCTCCTGTGTGACTGAACTCCTCACCCTATCTCCAAGGAAGCACCCAGCCACTCAGAGGAAGCTCATGTGGACTGCTTGTATCTGCAACCTGCTTCTTTTGGTCCTGTATATGCACTGCAACATTGACATTTCCCCACTGTGGAACGAATAAAGGATCTCTTATCTCATAGATAGATAGATAGATACTTTATTGATCCCTGTAGGAGAATTTCAGGTGTCCAGTAGCAGCAAAGATAAAAAGGTAACAATAATACTGATCAGCAACAGCCCTTCAGGTCACAGCAGCAGAGGTGGAGTAGCAACTGGTTGGTTATTGTATTACCCAACGCTAATTTTTCAGATCAGTTCCCTCTTCACCACACAATACAGCTCTGAATGCAGATGCTTCTCTCTCTTCACCACAACAGTCTGTTACAACTGCCTCATCACGACACACACTGCACCTATCCACCTGTCATTCTCACTCTCCATCCTTCCCTCATGAACAAGACCCAGAGATACCTGAACCCCATCCAATTGAAGAACCTCTCCACTGAAGTTCAGGACCCTGGTGTTATCACACTATGTTGTCTTTGCAACTGCTTTTGTTGTAATACATCATCATTTGGCCCTAATTGCTCATTATCCTTGTGAACTTATTCCATTGAATAAGGCTTCTGTTTCAATTTGTCTGTTTGGCTTCAGTTGCCAAGACACCTTTGGCAGTATGTGCACAGTGCACTGCATCCCTGACCTCCTCAGGTTGAGGCCCAAACTCCACTGCTCCCATGGGTGCTGTGAGGTGTTGTTTTGGGATGGTGGTCCTGAGGGGGAGGGGGGGGCTCATCCCAACACCTGCTGGTCTCAGGGGGAGGGGCAGGGAAAGTGTAGGGGGAGGGGTGCGTGCTCTTTGTATACTCATGTTCTGGAGCTGGGACGGAGCGCAGACAGCTTAGTTCTGCTTATTAAAGCTGTCTTCTTCAAACTGAAGTACAGCGTTTGTGTTTTTGAGTCTTTCCAGTGAGTCTCTGGAAAAAACAGCCACAAAGATCTTTCACATCAACACGTACATGCAATCTTTACATCACAATAACCAAAAATTGAATGATTGTATTGTAAAATAGCTATCTCAAGTTTTGTAAATCAAAATTATTGACACATGACAACAATACCTTTGAGTACAATGTTTCTTCACCACTGTGTATGATGTAAAAGAATAATAACACGTGAAGCATTTTTGAGTGTCCAAAAAAGTGCAATATAAAACAAATATATTATCAAAGAAATGGCTCATCTGTGTGAACGTTCTTGTTGTCTGTCTGTTGTTGTTTTACCCCACTCTAGCCTCTCACTTGAAGTTTGGTGCTAACTTCAAATGATTGTTTTTGTCATTCCTGTTTTGTCTGGTTTATACCTGGAGTCTTGATATAAAAATAATAATACATGCAACTAAAATATGCATCACATCAGCTGCAAGCTTGGTTTTACACCTACATCACCTACAACAGTCTTACTAGAAATATAGTAAGATAAGGTTCCACTCAGACAAATAAGGATCAGACTTTTTGTGCAAATATGTTCAAATGTACAAAGTCAGTATCTTTTCCAATTTATGTTTTGGTTTTCTGTTGGTGGAAGCTAAGACTGGTGACTCGGTTGTGTCACTTATGCTGTGTACTAACAATAAATCAAGACACAATCCCAATCAAGTTTAAATCTATGTTAAAAAAAAATCAACATTTCTATCCAGCTTTTAAAAAATACATGTACTGTGAATATTTATGTTTTTATTTTATTTTGTGAAAGTAACTTTCCAGGACGCATGGGCTCACTTATCCCTATTTACTTTGCTGTTGTCTTTTTCTTCCATTGAAAAGCACTTTGAGTTTCTTTGATTTCACAATACAGTTACTTCTCTAAAGTCTAGTAAACACAAATTGCCCCATCGTGAAGTTCAGTGCACATAGAAGTCTCTAGAAGAAAGGACAACAATGGTTTAATGAGCCATTGCAAGCCGAGCCAGAAAACATCCACCATATGGATCCTCTGGGTCTGAGCCGGGTCTATTTGGGTCTGGTTCCAGTCCTGGTCCAGGTCTGGTGGGAGGCTGCGCTGCTGCTGTACCCTTGGTTACTGATGGAGGAGCTTGGGCTTATCGCAGCAGATTTCTGAGCTCTGATTGGTCGCTCTCACAGCCCTCTCCTCACTGGCTGTGGCGGGGGGAAAGCAGGGAGAAAAGGAGCTGCTAATCCCTCAGCGTGGTCTGACAGGGGCAGTGGGCATAGACAGCAAGATTGTACTAAACTAAATATCACACGATACATAGGTCTGTCCTAATAACATGTTTTGAAAAATTTGAAGAGCTTGTTACTGTTGTTACTATGTTACAGATATAGCTACAACACATTCTCTTTGGCTTCCCCATTTGTTTTGTTGTTGAGTGTGATGGTTCTTCTGGCACCCCTTCCTTTCCGTCCAGCTCCTCTTTGTCATCAAATTGTTCCCCGTTGGCCTCCGGATGTGGAATAGTTGTGCTGTGTTTGAACATCCATCCATCCATTTTCTACCCTTTAATCCATTTCTGGGTCAGGGGGGTGACAGTCAGAGATGCCACCCAAGTCTCATAGCACCAGCCCCTCACTGACCCTCTGCAGGTGGTGAGTCCACAGGAGGACAGCTGCTCTGAGTGTGAGCATAGCCTTGATCTTTCAGTGGGGGCTTTTGGGCAAAGTGGGGTTAAGTGTCTTGCCCAAGGACACAACAACAGCAGTCATCAGTGGGAGTCGGTGGAGAAGGTGTCAAGGTGGGAATTGAACCCACGACCTTCAGGCCTGAAGGCCAATGCTCTACCAACTGAGCTACTGTCGCAGTGTTTGAACATGATGTTTCTTATACTTGTGTGATTTCCCACTGAGATGAAAGAGCGCACCCAGAGCCTTTTTGAGAAGGTAATTCTGAAAGTGTCGTTGATCTATTCGTAAGGAGATACTATTGACCCTTTAAGGTTGAGTATAGAACAAGTCTGAGTTGTTTTTAAAGTGTGTCATTCCAAGAAGAAATAAATGAATTGATCAGAAATCACCTACTTAAGGTAAATTATGTCGCCATTTATTTTCTATTGTCTCAATGTAACAATATTGAGAGGTATTTTGTCCCAATAATTTGAATGACTTACTCGTATGTAAACGTCTGGTCTCCATTGAACTTATGCAAAAATCCTCACGTGTCACATTTCATCATTTCAAGCCAAATAACGACCATGGTTCATTATTCAAAAGACTATAACCCCCAACAATTAAGATGGTTTCAATTAATGATATTTGAGAATGAAGGAAATCCGAGGCTCCTTTCTCAAATCTTACCTGTGATTTT